CTTATTTTAGAGAAAAGCAAGAGAGAGAAGTATATTCTGCGTTTACTACGATTGTCGGTTAGACTGATGAAAGAGTGACAAAGTTGAGCAGGAATGAATTTGGAATTGCAGTGTTTCGAAGGTTGTTCAATGTAAGTTAAAATGCAGTTGTTATTTTATATTTTATACAATACAAATTTAAACCATTTAGATGGGAACATTTTCCAACTCATATTAATAATCAGGGCTTAAAAGCTGCTTAACTCATGAATATTTGCTATGCAGTACTAGTTTTTTCAGATTACACTCTTTTTTAATAAATTTCATGATAAACGAGAACCAAATTAAAAATTTGCCTACCGGAATACAAAAGTAAGCTCGAAACAATATAACTAATGGAGAAATACAAATTTAATGCACATGATTACATGCTTGATCTGAACAGTATATTTTTGTAAATTTAAAAGACACTACGCGTATTGTACAGCTGGCTACACTGCATGGATTTTGTTTCGGTTTGTTCAGTTTCAATTATTTCAATTTTTTACAAAGATCAATATCAGGTATGCGAAAACGTTGCTCCTCTGATGTTAGGCTAAGTGGCTATCTGCTTGGAATTCTTAATAACTTTCTGCATAATCGCGAAATGGTTGGTGTCTGACTAATATATAAAAACGTTAAAATTAGACATTTCTCCGACCCCGCTGTTGCTGCTCCTCCTGCTCACGCTGCTTGGCGGGTCACTGTGGGAGTGCCGCTGATATCAGTAGCCGTATTTGTCTTGCCAGGAGGTCATCACGTCATTGGCCAAATTGCTCAGGCGGCCGGCGACTTTGTGCACTCCTTGACGTACGCTCTCCTTCACACTTTCCACATCCAGGTCGGGTGCACTAAAGTTCACAGACGATGAGTAGCCTGCTGCAAGAATCGGCAGTTATACGTTACTATCTTGTTCACAGTTCTCAATTCGCTATGTCACTCACCCCTGTTGCCCGCACTGCCGCCAGGAGTGCCGTCGCCAAAGTAATCCGACGACGATATGGCCCGCGATCCCTGGAAGCGGTTCAAACTCGCGCTGACGTCAGCCGCAGACTGTTCGCTGGCGAAGTACTGGTCGGAGCCGAAGCCCTTGGAGTTTCCGAATTTCTGTTGGGCGATCACGGGTTCATTGCTAGCGCCTGCTTTGCTGTGACCCGAGGAGGACGAGGCGGTCAATCCACTACTCTTTTTGACCGGCGCCGACGCCTTGGGCTTGTCATAGTCATTGCTGCCGGCAAACATAGATGTAATGTTGCTGTGCGAGCCGCCAATGGGCTCTATTGTCTCGTAGCCAAGCGCATCCAGTTCAAACTTATCCAGCTTGCTGCTACCGCCAGCGGAGCTCTCTCGCTTTTCGCTAGATCCGGTTCCCCCTCCACCACTGCTGTTGCCGTACAGTGAGTAGTCTGTGAAGAAGTTGTCGCCCTCCAGGGAGGAAAGTTTAGCCTTAGGAGCCGCCGACTGCTGGATAGTCTCCATATCGCCGAGCGCAGAGTGGGCCATGTCGGATCCTCGCAGGCTAAATCCCATGCCCAGGCGCTCCATCTGCTTGGCCTTGGCCGGATCCATGCTCTTGAGCTTAGCCTCCTCGCGAGTCTTCTGGATGGAGAGCTCCTGGTACGCCAGCCGCATACTGGCCACCGTTTCAAGTTCCTCCTCGGCCGTCTGGGGCTTGTCCAGCGGGGCCGTGGCCACGGATGTCTTCATCTCGTTGGCCGCGTTGGCACGGGCCTCGATGTCTGCGAAGTTAGTCTTAACTTTCGTGGCTCCCAAACCGCCCACCTTGCGGGCACCCAGCTGCAAGAGAAACAAATCGATTATTCTGCGTCATTCAACGCTGTCGGCTGAAACGTACCCCACCCTTTTTGGGCTGCACCTTGCGCGCACCGATCGAGGAGGGCGCTGCTGCGGGCACCACCGAATTGAGCAGATCCACGCTTGGGCCGCCACCCAGTTGGCTCTCTAGACTGATGACGGGCGCAGCGGTCGCTGGCTTTAGATCCTGCTAAAAGAGAGTCAAGCATTAACGTGGGTCTACAAACTCTAAAACTTCAAGAACTCTTTAAGCGCGTGCGTGTCTCCTGGGAATGAGAGTCGCCATACCTTGCTGACATTGTTGTTCTCCACATTAAAGTCCGTGTCGTTGTCGCACTGGGCAAAGAAGTCCTCCTCTTTGGCGGCCTCGTTGCCCTCGCTCTTGTCCGTCTGCTCCAGATGCAGCTGATTGGTTATGGGTATGGTGTGCGGAGCAAGGAGGTGAATTGGGAGCAGCAGGCAGACAAGTGGGGCAATGCAAATGTCGGTTAGGAGGTTTAGTGTAACAGAACTGCAGGCAATAACAAACAACACAGCACACGGGTGCTGTGGACTGACTCACCTTCGTGCCGTGTATCTTCATTGCCTGTTGGGCCTGGGCGCTCAACTTATCCCTGTAAAGCTGGGCAGCCCGCGAGTTGTACTTCACCTGAGCGTCGGTGCTGCTGCAGTTGTGGGCCCGGAAGAACTGGGCCGCGTTCGCGTTGCCACCGAGTTGCATCTGGCGGAGCTGCAACCAGGTCCAGTTGGTGTCCAGGTTGGTGCTGCGCACGAAGGTCAGGTGCACGCCCAGGTTGCGGTGCACGGCGGAGCAGTCGATGCAAATGAAGATGCCGTACGTGACGGATGACCAGGTGGGCGCCTTGGCCGCGCAGTCGAAGCAGGACTGTGGTACGAGGAGAGTGGAGCAAGAGGAGAGGAGAGGAGAGCAAAGGGTGCTCTATTAGTAAAAGCCCAAGGGCGAACATACGAAAGTAGGGCACGGGCACGGGCACTCACTTTGTTGGCTGGCTGGGCGCGCAGGCGACTGAAGACCGATTCGATCTCCTGCTTGGAGGGTCCTGCAGCTGGATTGGCCATTTCTAAATGCTACGAGTGGAATTTCGAAGTCGGGACACTGAAAATCGTCGACGTTGCTCGGCGCTCTCGTTTCCTTTCACTGCGAATGCGACTTGCGCTGGTCAAGGGAAGCCCTGACTGCCAAACACAAACCTTTGCGAATTTCTCGACTTTTCAGAACGTACGTGGACGTGTTTTCGTTTCGTAGTACTAGACGTAGTGTTGGGTCCGTCCACTCGGTGCTGATGTGCGCACCAGAGTTGGAAAACGCAGCGGCAACGGCGCTGCCACGTTTTTTTTTGAGGCGCCAACCCATCGCATTTTAAATGATTCTTTTTTAATAGGGGAGTTCCAATAACTAACCAGCTGGGCTCGTTGATACCATTTGCACATGGCTCACATCAGCGAAAATGTTGATGCGGAGCGTTTTCATAGCAAACCGTTTGGGCCGATAGATAATAGCCTAGGTATGTACACTTAATCGAGTTTCCTTTCGTTATCGGAGCTAACGCAACTGCAAGATACACTTTGCCAACATGAGTTTTTTTGGCTGTAGGAAAACGGCAGATATTTGTTTTGATTTGTAAATGAATATTAACAAAACCCAAAAAAATTAACAGTAAAGCTAATAAAAATAATGATTTATAGCTAGGAAATCCTCGGATATGTTGAATTGCTTATTAAAAAATAATTATTTGTCAGAAATGTATATAGTACGATACGTGTACATTTTAGGTAACTGTCTGATTCCATATTCTTGATTCTCTTTCATATTCTTGATTTTAATTTATTTCCCTTGGATATTCGACAGTTCAACATTCAACAACTATTAACATATACCTTAATGCGCCAATATAATCAGGCACATCACACTATAATAGCCTATTCAGACAGGCAGGTGTTCTGCTTCAGCGACCAAAATTCCCTTCAGCGGATTTTTTTTTTCCTTAAGAGGTGCATGTGATAGAAAGAGACAGAAATTAGTTTCGATTAGTAGGCTGTAAATTCGATTGTGATTCAGAATTTTTTGAGTGTTAAGTTGATTTAACATGTCAATTTTGGGGAATGGAGATGAATTTTGGACAAGAATCCACAGACTTTTTAAGCAAAACAAGTAATTAAATGAACAAATATCATTTGATAATATGAAATTTTATTTGACCTGCGTGAAAAAATCTGGACGTCCCAAAATTTACGAGGAAAAGCACTTATGTATGTACATACATATATCTGGAAATCCAACATATCCATTATAGGCCAACACCAGTGGATAAATCAGTAGCAGAGGAAAATCAAGATATCGGCGACAAACTCAACTAAATGCAATCGGAAGGCTTATGTGCTGTATGGAAATCGGAGTTTCACATTTGTTAAAAATTTCAATCTTTTCCAACAGAAAGAGGGCATTAAAAACTACAACAATACATCTTTTATTTCAAAACAAAATCAATGATTTTTTCGAAATCAAAAAATCAATAGTATCAATGTCGACTATTACAGGGCTTTTTAAGCTATGTTTCGATTTGGAACAAACTCAATGCTCTTTAAAAATGTAGTACTGTCAGCGGAGTGGAGTGGAGTTTCAGCCGATTTTGCTGGAATTTTTAGGAAACAGTCGAATAAATCGGACATTCCTAGCTTTCCCCTAACGAGGATCAGGTCAAGTGATGAGGATAGGCAAATGTGGATACAAGAATTGCATTAGGCAAGCGATCGCGATAGGAAATTACAGGCAGTGTGGAGAGCACATATGTGTAAACCTGCTTTGCATTTACGCAAGCTTTTGGATACTTATCTGATTTCCAAATCTATTTTTTAAAAATAATTTACCATTGCTGTGGTTGTTCTGATCATAAATAAGGCCTTAAGTTAATTTTATTTTATATTTGCAATTGCTTATTGAAGTTTTCTATTATTAAATCTTTGCAATGATATTTAAAAGATTTTAGTTTGCCTAGCCTCAAATTTGTCCAGTGTGAACGCCTTTACAGAGCTATTGTGTTCAGTGTGCCGGAGGTATAACGATTGCTGCAGTTCAATACATTCCTTCCACTAACGGTTACAAGAATACCTGCAACATGTTCGAATTTATGAAATTCTAAGAATGTGCAATCGAATGTCCGTGCTATCGGCAATTGAAGAACCAAGGATGCACTAACGCCAATGCCCAGCAACAAAATAAGTTCAAACAAAATTCAAAATAATGAAAACCAGAAGCAGCAAAGCATCCCTTTCATCTGGTCGGGACGCTGGGCTCCGGAATTCAGCGAAGTCCCCGGGCAAGGTGTGTATTTGAAACGGTATCAGCCTGTTGCATTCCTCCCGTAAAGCCACAGTTTCCCAAACGAATTCTGATCCCTCATGTGTACACATATAGCCCCTGACCCCAGAGAAAGACAAACACATGGATGCGTGCCATGATCCCGTAGACACCTCGGATCAATGTGTCCAATCGCAGGCTGAAGGTGAGCTCCAAAATCCGGAGGTAATTCATATCAAGAGCGAGCCCTTTTGTGAAGATCTGTGGGATGTCCTGGACGAGCTAGGAGTCCTTCTGGCTGAGGTGGATGCCGAGTCGGATCTGGATGAAAAACCAGTCATCACGCCACCGCCGCCCTCTATCACACTGGCCGACGACTCTTCATTGTTCACTAGAAGATCAAAGCCCGACTGCGATGTCTCCCCCATCAGCTTCAATGAATCCTTGCAGGAGTCGGGCGAAATCCTTTCCAGTGAGGAGAACAACACTGAGATAAACATATCCGAGGGAATGGAACCCGTTCTACGTATTAATTCCTCTGCAAAAGATAGCCAAAAGGAGCGGAGCAGAAGCAGTCCAGAAGGAAATTCCAGGCGCCACTGGGACAGCACTGCGCATAAGGAGTGGTTATCCATGAAAACCACCGCAACCAAAGCCAAAGAAATCAAGTCAGATCAGAGGAACCCCCGCAGCAAATCCAAAGAGCGGACACGTGCTCGAAAAAAGAGTTCCTCACTGAGAAAAATATCCATCAGTCGCAGCCCCAGTCCCACTTTTAGAGGCAGAAGGAGGAGCTCTTCCAGGAACTCATCCTCGGGCAGGGAAAGATCAAGCCAGGCCAGCCGCAGAAGGCATCGAAGCCAATCCAGGGACCACATACGGAGGAGGAGGAGCTTCTCTAGGGACCGACTAAAGCGCCGCCGAATTCCGGTCTCACCTAGGCCAAGATTTAGATCCAGATCTCGAAGTCCGGATCGCACAAGTCGTTCACGCTCAATACGAAATCACCCTTCGGACAGAAGGTTGAGGGATGTTTCTCCAAGCATTAGGCATTACCGGGGTCGGCCTAGATCTCCCGGATTTGGATGGAGGCACGGTATCCAGCGCTATTTGCCAGCACGTTTGCCTCGTCTTCGTTCCAGGAGCAGATCTAGGTCAGCCAAGAACCTGGTGCGTCGGCGCTTGGGAAACAGGGTTCCGTTCCGGGAGCGTTCGAAGAGCAGCTCCCGGCCAAGAAGAATACCGTTCCGAAAGCGTTCCAGGAGCAGATCCATATCAGCAAATGTCATGCTGCGAGAGTCTTCGAGAAACTCGGGAAGCAAAAGCAGGAATCCTAAGATCGTGCCCCGCCAGTCTTCCAGAAGTCCAAGGATTCACCACGAGGAGCGTCAGAGGAGTGTTTCTCCTGTTATGACCGACCGAGTGGCGAGTCCAGTCGAGTCCAGTCCTCCTGCCTCCTCCTTCTCACCCATCTTGCCAAAGCCCATCTCTCCAATGGTCACGCAGCACGACAACCGGTTGACCCGCCCCAAGGAGCTGCGCCAGCACCAGCTGCCCACGCCCCCTGATCCACAAGTGGTTTACAAGCACTTCACCCACCTGGAATACAGTTCGCAGCACTATCCGGGCTACCTGGCTACACCCGGACCCTACAGCCAACATACGCACGAGCTCGGTACCTTCGACCTGCGACGCCGTTTGGTCACAACGCGATCCCTCTGTTGTTTGCGTCCACATGACCTGCGTCACCGGATCCAGGACGTGTGCCGGCCGGACATCTACTCGCCACCACCCGCCTTTAACGTCTACCCCGAGTGGCCCACAGGCTACCCTGGGCAGTACCACCCCAGCGGCTATTACTAAGGGTTCCTCAGTAATTCTTAATTCTTTATTTGTACTACATACATAGGTTACTAGCTTTAAATGGTATGCTTAAGTTAGGGGGCGTTCTGGCTGCGTACGGGGGATGTATGTACGTGGTCGGCGACGGTTGAGCACGGATCTGGTATTTTGGCTTGGCTGGAGAGAGAATATTGAACGCATAAAGTTACGACCGCAGCACTTAAGCCATGGGGTGGGATCCTCGGACGGCAACTCCGGGGAATTGGGTTTTAGAGGCCGGTCCTGGACGGAATCGCCCACGGTTTGGGCACCCAAAAATGCGAGGCGGCCTCTGCTCATACTGAAGTCGATGTCCGCCGGCTCTTTGGTATGTCCAGTCCTGGCTAGATCTTTCATGCAATGCTCGATTGGCATCGACTCCGGATGAGTCTGGTCCTCCTCGCTCTGACTGGCGGCCATCGTGGGTGTGGGTTCGATTAACGTCTGATTTCAAAATTATTTTTCCGAAGCCATATGTATGTGTAGCAGGGAAAGGGAGAAGAATATATTGCTGCAGTTTCCTGTTCCTGGAAAACATAAATAAATATTGTTAATATATTTAATTTGACCAAAGTACACTCGGTTATCTAGTGTTTTAAATTTCTTAAAGCAACACGTCTACATATGTATGCTATAAACGAAATTCCTGCAATCATCACTTCGGGCCGCGATCATACGTTGAAAAACCATGCGCAAGTGTTGGTCAGCGACCAAAGTTCAGTAACAAGTTTCGTCGTTACAGCTTAAATGAACAAATAAGTAATTTCTCCAGGCCTATGACTCATAGGGATCGACTCTTGTCCCGTAGTAGCTGGCTGAATCCTAAGCATCATTGTCATTTGCTCTAAGGCTTGGTTTTCAGGTTTTCAGCACGGTTTTTAGAAATACTTTTTCATGCTTTTTTTTCGTTTAATGACCTGAGACATGTTATGAAAATATATTTTTAAATTATAATCTGGCTGCCTTAACTTTATTTGTCTTAATGAGGTATTTTGGTCTACAAATTTAAAAAAACTAATTTTTTGATTGCATATTTTGAATGCTTAGACTTTTAAAAATATGATCCTCAAAAGATTTTTTAAATTTCGAATTATTTTAGGAAATACAGCCTTTTTAGTGACGTGGAACCATCATAAATGTTTCTTAAACTTTAAACGCGTTTTTCTCGAATCAATTTTTTTTTAAAGTGGTTGACATGATATTTCAAGTTCTACTGAACCGATTCTCTTGAAATTTGGTATACATCTTGTATCCCTATCGCGTCTTCCTCGGACTTCATTTTGATTACATATAGTATTTTAAAAATATTCATAAAGGTCGATAAAGTTGGTTAAAAAGAATTTATTGTTTTCAAGTCGATGCCGTTTTGCTACTTTAAATTATTTTTTTTAAGTGGTCAACCCGATAATGACATCTTAACTAATGAAAAATTTGTTTCAGAAATCTAATTTTTTGGTCAAAAATCTGGCATTTATTTCCCCTGAAAAAAAGCTGACATCCTCTCACAAGATTGATCTTTTTAACAAACTAAAAATAATTTTTTTTTTAATTTTTAAAAGATATAGTTTTTCCAACTAAAGTCGGAAAATATTTCTAAGTTTTGCATATTTTATTTCTAGAAAAAATGTAGAAACCGGATTAAGTTAATTTTAACACACACTTAAGTTCAAGATACAACATCAAAAAAATGTAAACCGCTAAAAAGTTTTAAGTGGTTTAAGATTTATTAACTTTTAAAAATGCCAACTTTTGGTGCCCTAATTGCCAATATTGGTAAAATAATCGACCCAAAAAAAATTTATTTTTTGTTTTTTTTTTTGCATTTGCATTATCAAAAGTTTAAAAAACACTAATTTATTTTTTTAATAAATATAATGTATTACGATGATGTCATTACGGCCCTTCAGTGGATTATATTATTTATGTACATATTTATATTTGTTGTCGTATTAGAAGATATACAGGCCTGTTACAGAATTCACTCGAAAAGGAATTCATTAATATTGGCGGATTTCCCTTTAACATAATCAAAGTTTCCTTGCTTGCTAGCAAATTTCCTAGGGAAATAACTATTTGGTGGAAAAAAAAACAGCTGACTGCCGCTACTGTTCTTAACAAAAGCCTATGATTTGCCCAAGTTTTCCAAGAAACATCTTTTATCTTGCATGTGCGGTGGAATTAACTTTTCTTTAGTTTGCAGTGAAAGTATTAATTTAATTTTTACACATTGGAGAAAAAATACGAAATTCAATTTAGCGGTATCAAGCTAATTTGAAAACAAATTATAACAAATTTGTATGATGATTACAAATCTTTACCTCGGTAACGTACAATGTAGCCAAATATTTGTTTACCTAGGTAGGTGTAAGGTATCAAACAAGTGTACCTTTGTACATGTAAATAGGTACACCCCAAAACTGTTGGTAACCAAAAATAACAAATGCTACTTATTTCAAAGGCTGTGATGAAACCTGACCAATAAAAGTGTTAAACAACTCGTGTGGAAATCAGCTGTTGGACATTAAACGTAATAACCGATATTTAAGATGCAATGTTATTATTTTTCATTTGGCAGATCTGTCATCTTTCACAAGCTCCCGGGCTATGTCCACGTTCTCCTCCATAAACTTCATTATTATGACATCTTATGTTTCCTCCTAATAAAATTAATATTAAATAGAATAATATTCGTTTTCCTTACATACATTTACTTACATAATTACATTAAATTAAGGGGTAATAAGAACAAAAACACAATTTTAAACAAAAAATTAAAAAATAGAAAAGTTATAATTTTTTTCATTTATTTTTCCGATTGTTCCTATGAGAGCTATATGCTATAGTCGTCCGATGTTGATGAAATTTAAACCGTAATTCTGAAATATTTAACCATTACTAAATGTCGAAGACTAAACAAAAAATTAAAAAACAGCAAAGTTATAATTTTTTGTATTAATTTTCCGATTGTTCCTATGGGAGCTATATGCTATAGTCGTCCGATCCGTTGTCTGCAATAGAAAGACAACTTTTGGGAAAGTTTCATGCAGATATCTTTTAAACTGAGAGACTAGTTTGGACATGGCTAGATCGACTCTACTAGTGATGCTGATCAAGAATATATATTCTTTATAGGGTTGGAAACGTCTCCTTCACTGCGTTGCAAACTTCTGACTGAAATTATAATACCCTCTGCAAGGGTATAATAAGTCCCCAATAATGTTCTTAAAACATCAAAGAATAGGGTAAAAATTCCATTTGCACTTTAAGTTATCGCAAAGTATTTTAAAATAGTTTATTTTTGTTCTTCCGGATCTGAATCCGTCAGCCAAATGCTGTGATAAAAATTTTTCCGTGAGTTTTTTGCGGAAGTCAACAGAGAATTTACAGAACTTAGATTCCGTGCAAATCTTTCGGAAGTAAAAACTGGAATAGAGGTGATAGTGAAAATACTTGGCTTTTAAATAGTACTTTTGGCAAATATATATACATTTTTAAGTTGCATACCATTTAAGCTTAAAACTGTTATAGTTTTTATAGAATCGATATTTTTCGAGTACCCTTTGAGTGTTGCGTAACGTTTGAGGTCATTGTACTCGCTTTACTGCAGTTTTTTTTTTACAGTAACCAGAAATTGAAAGCGTCATCAAATTTGATTTCCTTTGTTTACAACTCGAGATTTATTTACAGGTTTCCTGTTAGTGGTTTCGAAGTGAAGTCAGTTGTGCGGTCGAGAAACTAGAATAAAGAAGCAATTTTCGGTGGAAACCATTCCAAAAGGATCTAAAACCTGTATTTCTGGCCGTTCATTGGTTCTCGTCTGCCGCTCGCTATCTCGCTCGCTCGCGCACACGTGCTCGCCGTTAGCCACACTAACCCCGTCCGATATCACGCCCCTTCGACTAGCCACGCCCAGCCAGGATGGCCCCCAAGAAGCACAGTGGCTTCATGATGTTTGTGAACGAATGGCGGGACCGCAACGCCGACGGCCGCCGCATGACGCTAGCGCAGGCTGTTTCGCACTGCGGCAGCATTTGGGAGGTAGGTTTCCCCCTTTCAGCACCCGATCCGCACAAGCTAACCCAATCACCGTTCCCGTTCCCGTTCCCCTTAGAAAATGACGGTCCAGCAGCGGGGCCCCTACAACTCTGGGGCCAAGGACGCCGACGTGAGGGAGCGGGCCAAGACGGAACGTCTCAACTGCCACGGGCAGGCGGTGTCCCAGGTGGAACAGAAGCAACGCGAAGCGGCTGAGAGCCTGATGCACATGAAGCGCACCATCGAGCGCATCGTGCTGGACGCCAAGAGGTCACATGGTAAGCCATGCATCCCTAGAGACACCTCATCTCACACCAAGTGACTTCCAATTTGCTTCCATGTTGATGCAGATCTGGAGAACACCAGGTTCGTCTTCGCAGCCTTCAACTACTTCACCAAGGCAGTGAACGCCGACATCTATGTGCCCGCCGAGTTCGCCGCCTGCGAGTACTCGCTGAAGGAGGGCATCAGGTCCATCTATAGCAGCCTGATCGATCCCGGCCAGATCATTTTTGGGCAGGGCAGCGATGCCAAGCACCACTCGTCGACCACTCACAACCTGCCGCTGCCGCCCAACGCGCTTGGGGAGAAGAACATGGGCAAGCTGTACCGCAACATAGTCGGCTACTTGGCCAAATGCCAGGGAGATCAGCTCATCGTCTTCACACCCTCGGAGAACATTGCCATGGTAAAGTCGTGCTTTCGCTACTTGGCCTGCGAGGATGAGGATGACGCCCGCGACGGGGGCCAGAGGATTCAGGTGTTTGACATCCAGTACCTGTTGTTCATACTGAAGAAGGAAGTCTTGCATATTGCCGGCTTGCCTGACGACAGTATCAACAAATTCGTGACTGACGCCTTTTTCACCAGAGACTTTTTTGAATTTACACCCGAGATCGCATGTCAGGTAAAGAATACACTTTGAAAACATTGAAAACCGAATCTATGTTGAGTTGTTCCCTGATGACTTTTTGCAGTTCCACGAGGAGAACGACCGCACCAAGTACTGCACCCAGAGTATGGTGACTAGATGGGCCTACACCTTTAGCGATTTCATGTGTGGCGACCTGGCCATCACCGTCCAGCCCGGAAAGCACATACCCCCCAAAACGAAACCGAGCTACCGGATCATCCCTTCGGACGCCTCCTCACTCGCCCAAGACTCCTCATTCGACTCTTTTTATTCGCTTCCAGGCTCGCGGGTCAAGAAAGAGAACCAATCCCGTGACACGTCGCCCACTGGCAGCAGACGTTCCGTCGCATCTAGCTCCTATGCTCCCACTGACCACACCGCTTTCACCGCCGACCTAAACGAAGTTGGAGAATTTCCCAGTCTCGGCCAGCGTCGTCCCTCTCGCGCAGCCGGTGTTCCTGCCGAAAGGAACACAGGGGTTTGGAACTTACCGAGGCACTCGCGCCCTCTTCAGAAGATCTCCGATAGCGATTTTAGCGTAAACGGCACTGAAAAGAAGAATCAAAAATAGTGCATTTTGGTTTTGTAAACGACTTGGTTTATGTGCACGCACGTTAAAAGAATCAACTCAATTCACGTAAGCGACAATGCTTAAAAAAAGCAATAACTAATATGAAATGTGAGGCATTAAATAAAATTAACTGCCTAATTTTGCGTTTGCTTGAATATGTTAAAAGCTTGCAGAGGGTACTCCAATCTTAGTCACAAGACTGTGAAGGAGTGCAGGAGATATTTTTGGCGCTTTAAAGTAAATATATATTTCTTGATCACCATCAACTGCCTTGTCAATCAATTAACTTGCATCATGTTTCTAACCTGTAGTGTTGGGCAAACTCGCTCACTTTGGTGAACAAGTTCAGTTGCTCACTTTTTATTTAGTGAACAAACTCAGTCACTTGTTCAGTTACATAGTTGCTCACTTGTTCAGTTGCTCATTTGTTCAGTTTTTTATTTGCTCAGTTATTCAGTTGTTCAGTTGGTCAAGTTAGCTCACAAGTTTCACAAGCTGAAAATTTTATTGGTTTTTATACTGTCTTCTTTGGCCTACGTAATTGTTAACATCATTCTTATCAAAGATTATAAAATCAGTACAGATATGAAATCATATACATATTTATTTAAATAATATAAGGAAATTACTAGTCAGAAAATAAAACAATTGAGCGACTAATGATCTTTATGAAACTGCTTAACTCAATAAATGAGCAACTGAACAAGTGAGCAAAAAATATCTATTATTGTGAACATTTTCAGATTATTCATTTAAGTTATTTGTTCACTTCATTCATTTGTGACGCAGCGAAAATAACATTTCCAACCCTATAAAGCGTAACAAGGTGATCCATCCTTAAACTGCAAGGATATTAAAACTTCCGCTTACCGAAACCAGCTTTCTTTCCCGTTTGATTTATTTCCATGTTTAAAATACCAAATAATGTGTCCTCAACCTATGTATGTTATTCTTTTTATTCTTTTTCAGAGGGTATTAGAAATTCAGTCGTAAGTTTGCAACACAGTGAAGGAGACATACATATACATATATTCTTGATCAGCCATAAAGGCATATAAACTTGAGCTTTCAACATTAAGGGGTTATATACAGTTAGAATTTTAAAAAAATTTAATGTTTGTCTTGTATTTTCTCAGTGTACATATATTTAAAAATGCAAACAGAACATTTTGTATCGTTCCGCTTAATATTTTCGAAGTAACAAGCAAATTTGAAAAGGCGTTTTAGAGTGCTTGAAAGTACAATTAAAACCTTTAACCGCGCTTTTCTCAAAATGGTCTTTTTAAAGTCGGTTACCACCATTCTCGAAAATGGCTTAGCCGATTAAAATAAAATTTTAACACGAGCTATTAAAATATATTTTTTGGTAATTAATCAAAAATTATATTTTTCCGAAATTTTTTTTTTTTATAAGCAATTTAAGACCGAAAATTTGCTCAAAAATCTATTTTTTTTTAGTTTAAGAAACCGTCATTTTGTCAAAAAACTTCATTCATATATAATAAGCAATTCTTTCGATTGTTTACTAGATTTGAAATACTTGAGCGAAATCTGTTCGGTTTTTTAATTTCGGAGGATCCAGTCACCGCAGAACGCCTTTTTTGAGAGGAGCTCCAAATAAATATTTTTGTAGTCTTAAAATTCAGCTAAAATATAACAGAAAACAGAGTTTTTTTTAGAAAATTGTTTCCAAAAGCATTGCATTATTTATTATTCAGCGCTGAAATTAAACAGTATCAGCCATTCTTCAGCCATGTCTGTTTTAAGGGGGAAGGGTTTTAAAGGCGGAAAAACGCCTCTTTTTATGCTTTTTTTGCGGAGGTGTCTCCGCATTATTAAGTACATTATTTTTTTTAACTTAATTACATATTATTATACAACTTGTAATAAACGTAAGAAAAAATTTCATAAAATTAAATAATGAAAAAAAAGCTGGTTTGCGGTAAACATCATTTAAAAAAAAAAAATTTATTTGCATTTTTCGGCTTTGAACACAAATGTAAAAAGGATCAATCGGAAACATACATAAATGAAAAAAAATTATATCTTCGCTGTTCTTTAATTTATACGAATACGAAAATATATTTACATCGGACAACGATGTCATATAGCTGCCATAGAAACAATCGACAAATTCTAAAAGCAAATCGTCTTCCTTTCTTTTTTAGAATCACATATAACTTTTTTCAACTGTGTTAAATCACATTTTAATTTACACAAGCCTATAAAATGTCAAAAAAGATAGAATTAATGACTACGAGTTGTTTACCAAAACTAACGAATTAACTCATTGTCAAATAGCCAATTAGGGAACAAATTATACTTTAACGAGTTTTTTTTTAAATCTTTGACGTGATAGTAAGCTTAAACGTGTGAAAAATAAGCGTTTAGTCCTAAGGTTTTTTTTTTTTGGTGACCAGTGTAAGAAAATCTATTTCGAATTCGATTTAGAGAAAACTAAATTTGATTCAGTTTCAGGAGTCCTCTTATTTCCGGGGAGGGTCTGCTTTAATAGTTTACACTTATAAAACTCTAGAACATAACGTTGCGTTGACAACCCTTTATGTTACACAACCCCAGCTCCGCAACCTTCATCTACCGGAAGAGAACCCTTAGAGCTGCGGGACACCGAGTCGATGCTTTGCGGATCCTGCAAGAGAACGAGGCGAGTAAAGGCTAAGCTAAGTAAAAAGGCCTGGCCCAGAAGCTCGCGCTGGTAGCGTTCCTGCTGCGAGAATGCGTGGCGTAGGTCGGCGGGAAAGTGAACCTCGTTGCGCAACGAACGCTCCGTACTGGGGAGCTCATCCTTCACGTTGGAATGGGTCCGCATCATGGCCAATATTGTGTCCTCGGACGACACGCGCTCCGTGCCAACCAGGTGATTGAAGAGGCGGGCTGACAGGAACCGGCGCATAAAAAAGAGGCTGTTGGCCTTGTCTTCTTCGGCGTCCGAACGGGACATTAACGAGTAGCTCATGATGGCCGCCACCTGGGCCTTCTGTATGTTGACGTTCTGTTGATCGATGCTGCCCGGGTTGCTGCTGGCTTGGGCCATCTGTGGACTCTCCAGGACGTAGCAGTCGGCCTGCGGAATCTGGTGGGAGACGTAAAGGCATCGTCGTGTGAGCTCCGACAAGTGCAGCTTCTTGTCGTTGAGCTCGTGGTGATGCCAATCGGTGAGCGTGCACGCTGCCTCACCGCTCCCGATCTCCAATCGCGCCCAGCTTACACTAGTTACTCCGATGCGCACGCCCACAGTGGAGATTATTCGCAGACGCTGCGCCTCGTCAATAGCCGGTGTTATGAAGGGCGCAACTCGTGCAACCTTTCGCTTCTTTCCGACTACTCCGCTGCGCCTGCTTTCCAACGGCTCGAGCAGACTCTTGAATAACTTGGTGGCCACCTTCAAACCGAATCCCTCCACGCACAGGATGTCACCGAGGTCTTGCAGCGGACCGTGGCGGGTTTTCCAGCTGTGCAGCTTGGCAGCCCTGGCCTTAGTTATGTCGTAGCTGGATCGAATGGAAAGGTCAGGTTGGACTACAGGTGTGGTGCGTAGTGCGTGGTGCATACCTACCTGGTCATCTGATCCACGCCGTTTTCGTTTATCGCCTGCAGGATCTTCGTCCGTTCCGCATCCGAGTAGGTGGGCAATAAGCCGCTTGGCTGGTCATTTTCAGCCTGTCCAGCTCCGTGCTGCAGCCTGGATGACAGTCCAAGGTATCCCATATACGGGCCCAACAATAAGCGCCTGGACAGCATATTGAAGCTCTATATCGCGTTTTGTTGTTACTTAATTCCATATCAGCTGCGCGGTTAGTGTGACCAAGTTCCGGAAACGCATTAAAGATGAAAGGAAATCGACTTATCGTTGCCTTATATTTTCTTAATTCATCGATATATTTAATTAATACCCTTCCTCCACACAGTCCATTCGTGGGAAACAGTTGGGGTTTTTGACAAATGTTTCCACAGCTAATCTGAACAGCTTCTAAAAACCCTTCTTCCTAAACACAAGTAAATAAATAGACATCCACATCTATCATATTTCATAAGCGTTTTCATTTGGCGTTTGCGAGTATAGTTATTTGTATTGCAACAAATATCTCCGATGCAGTTGAATTTTGGCTTTTTCCATACTTATATGGAAATATATTTCTATGGTATATGGTCTATATGGTCGAGAAGGTTTAGTTTTTACATAGTCCCAAACAATCAAAACTTTTCGCTTCCTTTTTGCTCCCGAATCCTCGAAATTTTCATCTAAATTTGATGTTACTAGATATATTTAGAGCTGCAACTACATGTGAATGTACGCAAATACGGGCAAGTCAAAGAATACACATATATATACAGCCTTTATTAATACAACTTACTTTTCAGGTATGTATTTACCTCCACCAATAGAATAATATTGCAGTAAAAAGATTAAATATATTTTTATACTCTCAATTACAGGTCTTTCTTGCCCGTAGTTGGAGATTGAAAAACATCGATGTTGCACCGCCAAACGAAACGGTAAAAAGAGCTGCTGCCAGCTCCAAAACTCTCTCATGGAGCCGGAATCGGGTTTGTTCGAAGTTCGAAATTCAAAATCGTCGAATTTCTAACGTCGATTTATGTTAGATCATCAATTTCTTAACATTCCTCTGCTAAAACATCGTTTTCCTAACATAATTGCAGCAGAATAGAGATGAAAAAACATTGATGTTGCCCCGCCAAACATCGACAAAACCGATGTTTTAAAATCATCGATGATATCGATGTTGACATCGATGTTTCTCCACCTCTAGTTTGTTGAGCCACATATTAAAAACAACAAAAGCGTAATATGTAGTGATTACCCGTTCATACGGGACAGCCAAAGAAATTCCTTCTGTTACACATAGGAAGTAACTTAATAAATAAAAATAAAAACACACACTTATTTCAATTGAATTAAAACAATAAAAACAACGGTTTTTGGCACTCGGTTGCCTTGCCAAATGTTTCACCTAATTCTGTTTTAGCGCGGATGCGGGTGCACATAAGTGAAATTTCGTAGCGCTAAGTGAAAGAGAAAACGGAGAAAGGTAGTGTCAGAGACAACTGTAAATTTAAATGTAAATCCTAGCCATGTCGTCGACGGACTTCGGGACTAACAGCTGTTGCAACAACAACAACAACAACGCGTACGGATATGCGAGCAACAACAGCAATATGCAGAAGTCAGTTCCCGCCCCCTCAGCGCTTGCCGCCGCACAGCTGATCAAGGTCAGCTGTTCCAGCGGACTGGAGGTTGACCCACTGCCCAGCTGTCCGACCAGCCAGTCCGATGCCTCCTCCGCCGCCTTGCTAGCACTGGACTCCTCGGAGAGCAGTGAGTGCGAGCCCTTCCTCGCCAGCAACAACACCAGTCGTAGGGCCACCCGCTCCAATTCCCTGCTCCGCTGTCGGATGCGCTACTCATGGTGGGGGCGCGCCCACGGCTTCCTCACCCGAAACTGGTACCTGGGCTGCCTGGTGCCCGCCTGCATCCTGGCCGCCCTTATCTTCGTCGGCTGGGCGACACGGGACTACGCCCGCCAGCTCCTCTTCTGGATCGAGATGCAGAACCCCTGGCTAACCTTCGCCGTGTACATGGCGCTTTTCGCCCTCGTCAGCTTCCCCGTGGTGGTGGGCTACTTCGTCCTGCTCGTCACCGCCGGTTACCTGTTCGGTTGCCTGCGTGGCTGGTTCACCGTGATTCTAGGCGCCAACCTCGGCATTGCCGTAGCCCATGCCACGATTCGCAGCTGCCGGCACCGCATTCCCGTGCAAAGGTAAGTGCTTTGTCTAAATACACGTCTTGCAAGTATCATGTCTAAGACTTGATATTTTTAGTTATCTAAACAATCGTGTCATTTGAGAAGACGTAGTTCAAAAATCGAAAAAGCAGGTTCAGCTTTTGAGCATTTCTTGTGAAAAAGTAGCTTTATACCCTTACAAAAGGTGTTATAATTTCAGTCAGAAGTTTGCAACGCAGTGAAGAAGACATTTCCAACCCTATAAAGTATATATATTCTTGAACAGCAACACTAGGAGAGTCAATATAGCCATGTCCGTCTCTCCGTCCGTCCGTTTCTACGTAAATTAGTTTCAGTTTTAAAGCTTTCTGCATCAAACTTTCAGAAAAGTTGTCTTTTTATTGCCGGTAGTATATAAGTAGAGACGATCCGCATCAGACGACTATAGCATATAGCTGCCATAGAAACAAAGAAAAAGAAATGAAAAAATAAAACGTTGTTTTTTTTTTTGGTCTTTTAAGCATAGTATTAGTTTAATGTTTCAGAATTACGGTTAAAATTTCTATAAAATCTGCCTACTATAGCATATAGTATAGTAATAGCTCCTATGGAAAAAATCGGAATATAAAAAAAAAATTAATGTATAAAATTGAAAATTGAATTGAATTTTAGAATTAAGCTTTTACTTTTATTAAAATCGGAAATCGATTACAAATAGCTGCCATAGGGACGATCGAATCATTGACCTAAAAATCGCCATAGCTTCAATGTTTTCCACAGAAGCTATACCAACTAAACGAAAATTAAACAAAATGTTGCTTAGACAAATAGTTAGTGTTGCTTCTGTTTCAAAGTCGGATATCTTAGTGGAACCGTAAGGAATGGAATCTAATGAAATCGTTTATCAAATATTGTTTAATAAATATTGTACTTACCAACAAAAAAATACCTTAACGTTTACTTTTTGGGGCTTGGTTAACTTTTCCTGGAAATGCCCAAATTTGATACAAACAAAAACATCAAAAAAAAAAAATAAATAAATGTGACGATCGCACCTACGACGCACAACAATTCTGATATTGAATCATGTGGCGAAAAATTTTTAAGCATTCAACTTAACAAATACACATTTTACAATTTTTTTATTTGTCGCGCTCCAACAAAACTTTTTATTTACAGTAAAAGGGGTTTTGAGATTCTAAATCAAAAAGTTCACCGTGCAAACAAACAAGCGGACAAAAATGCTCTAAAAATCTTATATGTTGAATTTCTTTTGAACGGATAATCAAATTGAGATGACCGAGGTGTCATTGGATACGTAATTAATGTCAGAAGACAACAGTGCCACAAAAGTTATTTTGCTCCTCCAGTCCCAACAGTTCCAATATAAGGACAAAATTTGTTCGCACTTTCGCTCCCATTTCTCCAGGATCAAATGACTTTCTAAAACTTTTAGTATGCATAAACTCTTCTAAAACCGCTTCCTTTCGATTGCTATATCATTATTATTATTATTATTATTTTGATTTTATTATTTGAGAAGCCAAGAGAACTGGCTTTTGATTTCATTAAAACCGGTTGACTGTATCATTTAAATCCCATTGGAACAATCGATGTGAAAAAAGTTAGCAGTACAAATTTTAAAATTATTTTTTTTTTAATTAGTTATTATTTATTGTCTGTCCGGCCGCCCGTCCGTTTCTAAGCAGCCTAGAACAACCGGAATATAACCAAAAAAATTTTTTTTAATTTGTAACACCTAATTTTTCATTTTTTTTTTTTAGTGTTTTTGGTTTAATGATTCAGAACTATGTATGAAAATCGGAAAACGATGTCTTATCAAATAATTGAAGTGAAAAGTGCCTGTGTAGGCAAAAATCATAAATTTATTGTTGAAGCGGCACGAAAACAAATATTTAAAAAATGTATTTCTTTATTTGAGAGACTAGTTTGCGTAGAAACAGACGGACAGACGGACATGGCTAGATCGACTCGCCTAGTGATGCTGATGAAGATTATATATACTTTATAAAGTCAGATATGTCTGCTTCACTACGTTGCAAACTTCTGGCTGAAATTATAGTATCCTCTGCAAGGGTATCAACATATATTTTTGTTGCTTTAGGTCCAATCGCCACGAATTTCTTGCCACGGTAAGAATGTTGTTGTTTTATATCAGATGTTGCTGTTAAAAACTTAAATTTTGCATTACATATTAACATACATAGGTCACTAAAGGGAACTAACCATTAAAATTTGAATTACTTTAAATTTGCTATAGATAACGTGATCTATAATGTCCTCAAGATCTATAATAGGAGAAACCATATATTATAGTTTTAAAGATTTTTTTTAAATTTTTCCTCAAATACCTTTTGAACGTGTCTGTTTCTCAAGTCGTTTAATAGCAAGGGCGTAAAAAATAAAGCGGTTTTTAGTTAGTTCCTCTTAACTGGGTTTCTTTACAAGGACCCTAAATCAAGAAATTAAATTAAAGAGCGGTACCCAAAACTTATTTCCATAAAATAAAGTCGACAAGTTAACCTTTTGTTCGATATTAGGTGGTAAAAACTTAACAGACAAATATCAACCGAGAAGATTTCTGTATAAATGCGAATTGTTTCTAGAAAATATGGTGAGCCAGAATTAGATAAGCTTCCATGAAAACGGCAAACGTTCTTAAATTCTAGATTTCGTAATAAAATCGCTTCAAATTTAAAAACATGTTCATTATATTTTTATTGACAGGAAAGGTAAAATTGTGCTTAAATTTTGCTGGAAACTTTTTTATAAGACAAGTTTATTTTAAACAAAAGTAAAAAAATATGATTTTGGGTTTGTGTCATGTAGGATAGTCACTATAGCTCTGCTTTAGTGGTCGCCCTGTACAATTTAAAATTGAATTGGGTAAAGTGAGTGTTTCTTTTTTTACAAAATACGTTTTTACGGAGATCAGGCACTCCATCGTACAACAGTCTCCGACCAACTATAGTCCATATAGTCCCCTCTGCCCAGTGTGCTTCCTTTGATTCTCCAATGCTACGATCCGTTCGAAATTTCAAGTATTTTACATGGCTTGGAGTGCGTCGTCAGTGTGCCGTATTGGCCGCTTCGGACCGGAGTGATGTCCACCTGGTACTGCCAACGGTCCCGTCCTCCGAGTTCGCTAAAAGACTTCGACCGCTCCCAGTGCCCGACCTGATCGAAAGGTTCTCCCGAGACTCCCCCGGAGGTCAGTTCCCCACAATGGCCGAGTACCTGCACAACGACCCGATGCCCAGTGCAGTCATGGTGCCCGAAGAGATCGACCTGCACCGATCAATGGCCTTGGAGGATCTTAATGCCTATATGCAGGCAAAGGACGCGTTTAAGGAGTCGCAGAGGAAAAACCGGATATTTGCACACGTTCTGGTGGTGGCCGGGGTCGACTCACTCCGCAGATGCCCTTTGCGGCAAAAATGCGAGTTTCTCTATCTCTGCGACTGCTTGAGGCCAGGCGCGGCCCTGGTACTCCATCGCAGCCGGAAGGGAAAGGCTGGCGCGCTGCTCTTCCTTTCCGAGGAAGTTGACTCCCAGCTGTCCACGATTTATAGCCATATGCACCACGTGGACGATGTTCTACCCCTAACCATGCTAAAGAAAAGTTTGCTGCGGTTGCTAAGGGATCAAACTCCCGAACTGTGGCACTTTTTCGAGCCCTCGAATCCAGTCAGCCGGATAGTAGAAGAGGTAGCCGTGGAGGCCAAGAAACCACTAGGTAACCCCCGGTACATCCTCCAGTACACACGCACCTTTAAGACACCCCGGGAGCAGAGTGCCCTGCGGCGGGCTAACGCAATTGCCGCCGAATCCATGGCGGAGTTGATAGCCCAGCACCATCGCAATCCAAAAGAGCTGACTACATCCTTCGACTACAAGTGCCGTATGCGACACGCCCATCCAAACGTGTCACCAGTGACCTGCGGCTTGGACGCCAATGGACTGTGGCAAATGGATGCTGGCTGCCAGTACGGAGGCTACCAAGGCGCATTGGCCAGGTGCTGGCCCAACTCAGGCCGATTCACGCCTCCCCAAAAAATGCTTTACGGTGCACTGCTGGACATTCGCCGCGATCTGTGCTCGTTAATACAGTCCACTGGAAATGAGGGTACCGTTCGCACACCTCTCGAACTGCATGCCGCATATCTAATCCTGCTGGCGCGACACCTTAGGGAGCTCCGGATCTTGCCCCAAGGCAACAGGAGTGCAGCCGAGACTGTCGAGGTGGCCCGCAAGTACAACTGTACGCCAATTGTCGTCTCGCACGTGGGCCTAGATAGTCGGGACACCAGTCGAAGACTGCTCGACTACCCATTCGCACCCGGAAACGTGGTGTCGCTGCGCCTGTCCATCTCCATTCCCGACGACTGCTGTCAGGCGTATCCCGAGTTTAGGGGCACGCTCTGTCAGCTGGGCGACACCCTTCACATACGGGATGACTACTCCGTGGAGGTGCTCACTGCCCGCTGTCCCAGCGAGCGGCAGGCAATTGAGGCCGTATGCTCACCTGCCAGTCGAGTTAGAACGCCACGATTATGGGAAGACGGTGGTCAGGACGGATCTAATGATAAGCGCCAGCTGAATGACCTCGCCGAGGGAAACTGAAAAAAAAGAAATTGTTCACGAACGGCCGCGCTGAAAAGGCCATCATCAGTTATCTTGTGGAATTCAATGCGTGTATGTGATGTTTGTGGATATTAAAAAACGATTTGTTATAGTAAGACTTCGGACTATAAGTGATTACATCCTTGTGATAGCTAAAAAATTATTTTTTCTAAACCCATTTCTTTAATGGTAAGGGTTGCCCCTTTGCAACTTAAAACAAATTTTGTTTTTGACAATTTTGTATATAAAAGTAAATCATCTCAGAAAAATCCTGTGAAAATTTCTTGTCGATCGGACTTAAAATCGGTTTGATTATCTCGTAACCGTGCTCAAGGCAGGTATGCAAATATGTATGTAAAAACTTTAGACGTGTTTTTCCCAAAACTACGTTTTTTAAGTCGGTGCGTAACGTTACTCAAAAAGTTATGGTCCGATCTAAATTAAGTTTTAAACACATCCTTTATACAGTAAATACTTGCGGATAAACAAAGGTTTTTTTTAAAATTTTTTTTTTAAGTTTTTACAGGCATTATTATGCAGATTTTTATGTAAAAATTTTTATGTACCTCCGACTTTACAACTTTTCGAAAACAATTAACCCTTTGGCGCGATTGCTAGTTGTCAATAAATGAACTGACCGAAAAGCAAGGAAATCGAATGCCAGTGCCAGTGCCAGTGCGAGCGGGATAGTATCTTTGTTTGCATTTAAAAAGTATTCATATTTCTTTAACTAAGGGTATTTTAGTCGCCTTCTTGTTTTGGTCTCTCTTTTTCGGTTTGAAAACTTTCGCAGAAAGAAAAATCGTAAAATTAGCATTTTGCAACATCAATTTTCCCTATTACAATGGTACAATTGTGAACTTCTTGTAAATATTAAAGTGACCTTTGGTTTTAATAAGAATTTTACAATTTTTTATGAACGTCAAGATCTCGAAAACTATCAAATTTGTCATTTAAATTGTAGATTCTGGTAATAGCCCAATTTTATTTTAAATCTGATCCCGCCCACTCTTTAGAGACATTGTGGAATAGAGGCCAGTTATTTTATCCGTCCGTCTATATCTATGAACCCAACAAACATTTTCCAAATGGAACCTTTATTTCAAAAATTATAACGAAAGTGAAAGTTAAACGTAATTAGTGACTCCATGGCAAGTAAAAACACCAGTTTAATTCGATATAGGCTTAACACGTGGTTTTTATTTCATTTGAATTGAAATGTGGTGAATAAGTTTACAAATTTAGACAAACGATATGAGGTCACGTAAAACTTATTGATTCATCCTCAGTTTGGGTTGCATAAGACACCACCAATTTATCAGACAGTGGCTTTTCGTTGCCTTATCAGGCGAGACTGTGAGACTTAAATGCATATAGCAAAAGCTGATAAGGGTACATTTTAACACTTCCCTTAATTATGAAATTGGGTTTCACTGTCTCAGTGTAATTTGTCAATTATACTACTACTCCCTCCAAAAGCAAAATTATTTATTTCCAATTAATGCCAAGACAATTATACTACTACTCCCTCCAAAAGCAAAATTATTTATTTCCAATTAATGCCAAGACAAGAGGCGAAAAAGTTCCACTTACAAGTGGTAATCCTTCTCGGGAAGGATATCGCCGACCGTCCCTTGTCTAGCCAGCTCGTCAGCTACGAAATTGCCTTCAATGTCGCGGTGGCCAGGCACGCATCGTCACTACGTGGACAGTCCACAGTGATGATAGACCTGCACACCAGTTATTTTATGGGGTACCGTAGACTAATTAACTGCCGAACGGTAGAGCCCCTATAATCAGTTCCTGATTGTGGGTTAGACAACCACAAACATAGATATAAGTACCCCGAGTCTATAAAACGTTAATGTGTTTATGACTGTATTTTATACATCAAACAAAAAAACCTCTTGACGGGGTAAAATTAACGTGACGATCGCACCTTCAACTCCAAAAACTTTTAATATCACATTTTGTGACTTGTGATTTTTTTTATTTTATTTTGTAATCGGCACAAAGCTGCACAATAAAATCAGCCCAGTTACTAACCCATTTCAAAGCAGTGTACAGATTACAAAACAAAAAATAGTCGTCACACAATGTGATACCAGAAGTTTTTGGAGTTGAAGGTGCGATCGTCACGATAATAAAATTGTGGGCGTGTGAAATCTATCTTTTTTATGATTTCCCGCTAAAACATGCGATTTTCCAACAAGTGGTACAAGATAAGTTTTTCACCTCGAGCTGCTTAATACAGTAAAACATCGCTTTGATACGCACATTCAAACCAAAAATGCTGTATCTCTCTTGTTTATTGAATATCTTTTTAACGGTGTATCGGATTTCTAAATCTGTTAGTATGCACAAACTTTTATAGAAGTGATATCTTTTGGTTGCTATATCATGTTCTAAGATCGGACTATTCTTAGCTGACTTCGAATATTGCGGCTATATATAGTAGTATACTTGCGAATGCTTACCGGTGCTCATCGTCACTATATGTACTGTACCGTTCATAGTGATCTAATGTGTCCGTATATTTTCATTCTTTTTGCAGGCTAATCAAAAATGACACGGGTCGAGCCATTCTCCGCGTGATCTCTGGACCAAAGGCATTTAGGGTCGTGCTCTTTACACGACTTACACCCATTCCCTTCGGAGTGCAAAATGTGATATTCGGAGTAAGTCATTCAAAGGCCGATCTGAGCAATTCAAACGAAAAGGACTCATTTGGAGAATCCTTTATTATTCGATTCTTTGTTATTTTGTATTATGGATTTTAACATGACATTTTCAAACGCCCTTTCATTGTATAATTACATAATCGTTTAAGAAATCACAGCTTACAACAGATGATTATTTTCGCAGATCAGTTCCATCAATACGAAAGACTACCATGTGGCCACAATGATTGGGCTGCTGCCAGCCCAAATTATCAATGTTTACTTGGGCTCCACGCTAAGGTCCATGCACGAAGTGCTCAATGACAATAATACCAAGCTGACCGGATACATTAGCTTTATCTTTGAGGTAAGTGGCTCGTCACCTTAAATATTAGTAATTGGTATTTGGTGCCTTGCAACTGAATGTGATGAAACTTTACATGCAGGTCTTCTTATACCCGTTACTCGTAGGGTAAAGTATGTAACAGGTAGAAGAAAGCGTCTTAAATTATATAACAGGATTTGACAGTTCAGAATTACGCTTTTAATTCTATTAAAATCGGAACTATTGACTAATTGAGCTTCTAATTATCATAGCTTCAATGCTTTTCAACATATACGCAAGTAAATCAAAATTCTAAAGTTTTCAAAAATATTTAATTTTTGAAATAGCTGAAAGGGTATATGAACTTCAACTTGCAGGAGTTTGCTTCGTTTTTTGTTTTTATTGAATACCGCAAACCAAAAAAAATTTATGAAAAAAGGGCATTGCATGCCGTTTCGAGATATATTCCAAATTCAAATTCAAGTTAACCCTATCATTCTCTTACAAACCAAACAGATTTTGAAAAAAAAAATGTTTAAATTTTTGATTTGCCGAAAATGTTGTTTACAGATAGTCTTCGGTAAAAAACTAAACGTGTACCAACATTTGACAAAAAAAAATTATTGTTTTGTACAGTTTCGGAAAAAAAACGACACATTTATATATCTCCGGTTTTAGGGGTCCTCTCCACTTAATTTCTTTTTCACTTATATACACAATAAAATTAGACGCAGTAGCAAATATTAAAAGTTATACAAAATTATTCCTAACTTTTGTCTCTTTAAAGGTCATTTGTGGCGTGGTTCTGATGTTTTGGGTTGTTCAAAAGGCGAGGAAGGAACTGTCAGAAACGTTGCTAGTCGCTGACAACGAAGAAAAGCACCATGACATACAAGTTTAGCAGGAGCCACGTTGACAGGAGTTCCCCTATAAGAAACACGAGAGCTTCCCCATCACAAGTGAATCTCCTGGACTGACTGCATTTTTGCATTAGCTTTTTTAAGCAAAGGCGATTTTCGTGTTTTTTGTTTTTTATATTATGCTCAAACCAAACATTACGCTATTTTAAGCAGTTTTTATGTTAAAGGATTTCATTCACACGTTCGGTTCCCTCAAAAACCACGACCATGATCCACATCACAATTTAATTTTTACAACTAAGGATAAATACAACTAAGTCAAAGCCTCGCTCAAAAATCGCTCACTTTTGGAATCGATTTTCGGTCATAATGCTGCTCTATATCGTTGTTTAATTACTAGCTTGTAAGCAAAGTGAATAAATGAGCTCTGAAGTACAATTGTTATCCTAACTCGTCCTTTGGCTGATTCTCCAGCTGCGAGGGCTTTTGCTCATGTGAAATTTAAAGGCTGCCTCCAATGTCTCGAGGGCGAATTCCACATCTCCGATGCATAGGCACAGAGGAGGCCTCAAGCTCAGCACCTGAAGAGGAACAGGGGACAAATATGGAGAATTAATTTGGGAAATTCCCTGTTCATTACACATGACCTGTCTGCAGTGAGTATTAACAGTAAACCACAAAATCGGACATTTAACATTGATGTTTTTCATTTACCAAATTCGCCAAGAAACTGAATTTGGAGTGATTGATCATGCAAATTAGTAGGAGTAAAAACGTACATATGTAAGTAATTAATAAAAAGTTAGCTAATATTGTAATTGTAAATCGTAAATAAATTTCTTCAGGATTGGTAAATAATTTTACAGTGCTACAAAATTAGTCACTTTTAAAAATATACCAAACTTAGTAACTTAATTTATTGTCTTCATGCAGATGTTAGAAGAAAATAAACTTTACAATTATTACCACCATATTTTATAGTGTATTGGGAGTAAGTGACTAACCATGTCAACTTAGTGGTAGATTCATTTTTTTTTTTGCATATTTTGTATGGATAGACTTTTAAAGATATGAATGGATAGACCTTAAAAGATTTTTCAAAATTTTGTGACGTGGCGTCCGAGCCATTATAAATTTTTCCTAAACTTTAAACGCGTTTTTCTCGGACTTACTTTTCTTGAGGTGGTTGACATTATATTTTAAGTTCCACTGAACCGATTTCTTTGAAATTTTGTATATATCTTGTTTCGGACTTAAAAAAATTTTGATAATAAGTATTTTTAAAATATTTGAAAATGTCGAAAAAATTGGTAAAATTGGTCGACGCCATTTTGTTATTTTTTTTTTATTTGTGAAGAATTTGTTTTAATATTTTTTTCCGATCTCTACAAATCTACAAATAAAGAAGGTCGAATGGGACCGGCCAGTATCTCTCCGAATGTTGGGTTTTTTAAATTTTTGCCAATAAAACATATAACACAAGAAAGGAAGCACACTTCGACAAGCCGAAGTTCATATACCCTTATGTTATAGTCGTCCGATTTTGATGAAATTTAAATATTGAACTACGGTTTTAAAATCGGACAACGATATCATATAGTTACCCAATTGAAAATTTGTTTTCTAAAATTTTTTCCGCCAAATTGGAGAAATATACTTTTCAGCGAAATTCCATACCCAGACAGCCGTAGCTGCTCTGAACTGGGAAACTTTCGAAAAAGGTTTTTTAGAAAGAAACATGAAAAAAGAGTTAACAAATAAAAAAAAAAGTAAAATAATTCTAAGACTATTTTATTAACACCAATTATGTTAAGGCTGCGGAATTAGCATTTGACCTTTTAAACGACATATGGCACTGTAGGTTAACTAGTTAAGGGCGTGCAGAGTTTAGCAAAGTCGAAGAACAAACTTTTTTTGTAACGACCTGCCCAACACAAGAAAAATTATTCCAGGATTCTAAAAACAAGTCCTTACAATTTTTTGAAACTGTCAAACAACTGTTCATTTTTATATATTAAAAAAAAGTATTTTTGAATAAATAGAACGGAGCATCGAATTTAAGCAAATTGGCTGTCATTCGACGCGTATATAGAACCAATTTTAACCAAACAGGGCCCAAAAGCTTCCAAATTGGAAGTCCCAATTATACAAAATCTTACTATGTCACTTTCACTACTTTTTCTTCTGAACCAAATAATTTTTCTAAACTCTTGGTTCTTTTCTTTTCTTTTAGCAATACCTTGGTGTATTGGTTTATCACGTAACGATCGGACCACTATAGCAGATTTTCCATTCTGCGGTTTTATATAGTAGTCTATATTATCTATATATATATGGCAGTCTATCTAGTCTCCTATACACACACTCTACTGCGCATCGTGACTTCATGTACTGCCGTAGTGATATAGTGGTATATGCCTATATATTTATAGATATTATATCTCCTTTCGCACTGTTTCGTATTGCAAAAACATTCACGTTCGATCAACTTTTCGGTTATATAACAACCAATTCATATTAACGTTTAACAAGCGAAATATAATGGATTCAAATATTCTATAGCCACGAAAGAGACTCTTCTAATTGAATCGATTAATAAATGCAGCCGAGACCATCCGAGACCATTGAAACGCTATCTCTTGTCTGTACTCCTTTTCTCAACTCGGATCCTCGTTAATTATTCTTGCAGTGGCAGGGACTCGGTAATGGCCCGGGCCAGCACATCCACGGCGAACTTCGCGTCAGCCCGATTGATGCACATGGGAGGCTTGATGCGCAGAACCTGTGGAAATGCACGAAAGGATGCACAGATAGAAACAGGAGGAGTTGATGATGCGCTCGAAGAAAAAGCCACCAGGGAGGTCATCTCGCCTGGGGGCTCTTTAGCCGAGGTCGGTTTCTTGTTAGTCAGATGTGCCCGAACGAGGACAGAAGAGCCCAGATGAGGATGCACTCAGCCCAACGAAAAGGTTGACACTTACGTTTCCATGGAGGCCTCCGCGTCCGAAAAGCACGCCCAGATCCTTGCACTTCTCCCAGATCTCCAATACGTGTGGCGTGGCCAGCGGGGTACGTTTCTCGCGATTGCCCACCAGCTCCACGCCGATCATCAGGCCCTTGCCCCGCACATCTCCGACGATCTCGAAGCGCTCCTGCAGCTCGGCCAGAGCCTTCAGGAAGAAGGTGCCCACCTCCAGCGAGTTGCGCTGCAGCTGCTCCTCCTCAATCACGTCCAGCACGGCGATTCCCACGGCACTGGCCATGGGGTTGCCGCCGTAGGTGTTGAAGTGCAGAGCCTGGCCCAGCGAGGCGGCGATCTCCGGCGTGGTGACCACGGCGGCCAGTGGAAAGCCGTTGCCAATGCCCTTGGCCATGGTGACTATGTCGGGCACGTAGTCGTGGCCCTCGAAACCCCAGAAGTGCTCGCCGGTGCGTCCGAAGCCCGTCTGCACTTCGTCGGCCACGAAAAGTCCTCCGTTCGCCCTGACCAGTGCGGCTGCCCGCTTTAGGTAGCCCTTGGGGAACTGCACCGTGCCGCCGACCCCCTGGATGGACTCGGCGAACATCGCCGCCACCTTGCCGCGCGGCAACGAGTACTTGAAGGTTTCCTCCAGCTCGTTGTAGTAGGCGTCGCCCGCCTGGCAGCCGTCCCGGCACTGGCAGTCGCGCGTCGTCTGCACGGGCGAGTCCCGGCAGGAGGAACCGCCCCAAATGCCCTGGTAGGGGTCGGGATTCATTACGTGCACCAACCCGTTGTTGACCCCCGGCAACGGGAAGCGCCAGGTGGAGTGCGCCGTCAGTCCCATGGTGTACGGCGACATGCCGTGGTAGGCGTTGCGGAAGGAGAGGATATCCTGGTTGCCCGTATGCAGGCGCGCCATCAGCATGGCCAGGTCGTTGGCCTCCGAGCCGGAGTTCACGAAGCAAACGCTCTTCAGGTTCCCTGGGAACTTGGCCACCAGTCGCTCGGCGTACTCGTGAATCTTCGGGTGCATGTAGATGTTGGTTGTGTGCCACAGCTTGGCGGTCTGCTCGTTCAGCGCCTGGTTCACTTTCCTAGGGATGAATGCAATTGGTATTAGTGGCAGTGGGGAACTCTTTTATAAACCGGTAAACTGGGTGGCAAAAGGGGAAATCGGGGCACAGGGTATCCATGTTCGGACCCCTCACTTCCCGTCAAATAAATTTAAAATTTCCGACTGGAATGTAATTTCTATACCCGTTACTCGTAGAGTAAAAGGGTATATTGTATTCGTTGAAAAGTATGTAACAGGTAGAAGAAAGCGTGTTCGACCCCATAAGTATATATATTCTTGATCAGGACCAGCAGCCGAGTCGATCTAGTCATGTTCGTCTGTTTGTCTGTATAAATAATGAGATCTCGGAAACTATAAAAGTTAGAGATTTGCGATTTGGCATGCCGATTCCAGCGATTCCTAAGCAGAGCAAGTTTAAAAACGGTGCCACGCTCACTCTAACGCCCACAAATCGTGAAAGTGTGTACTGTCACTCTGAGAGATGTTGAAGGTTGAGGTTGATTGTTGTGTGTGCGTTTCGGTCATATCTATCGGTACACCCAAACATTTTAAATTCGAACTGTTATTTTAGAAGTAATGGGGTTTATGAAGTTCTCTGCCGCCTCTCTGCCGCTGCTTAGCCACTGAGCGGCCGCTGTTCTGCCGCTGCTAGCAGATGAGACCGAGAGAAAGAGAGAGAGAGAGAGAGAATTACAGAACTGTTAGTGGAGGGGTAGAGGTGCTGCACGCTCTTAGCTTCTAGTGTTGGCTATGCCGTTCGACAGATGGCGCCACACAAACTTTGATTGTTTTGTAGGGGAAATACGTAGGGTGGCTGAGTTACGGGTTTCTAATAGTCGGAAAACTGGACTATAGCGTTCTTTCTTGTTTTTAATTTATTGAGTTGATGTACTACAAGTTTTTAGTACATTAAATTGAAGATTGAATGGAAGATCGCGGGCCCGGGGGAAAACCCACCCTTCACCGCCTCCCATTCAAGTTGATCCGACTATTTTTATAGTGGTCTCCTCCGCAAACTCTCCGTGCGATTCGTCATTCCGTGGACTGCCACCGACAGTGATAACCTAACGATTTTCTTTCCCCTTTAAGAAGAGCTTTTGGTTTGTAACCCTATAGTTCTCATACGAACAATCGAATTTGGCTGACAGGAATAAACTTTCTTTCTCGTTTGAATACGGCTAATACAAAAAAAGTATTATATTAATAAAGTAAATGGTCTCTTATAGTTTATGTTTTTTTCTGTGAAAATAAAAAACTTCTGTTGCTTACGGGTGACAATGTCCCACAGACACAGTGACAATTCCGCCAAACATATCCAGGTAGCGCCGTCCCTCGTGATCGTACAGCCACTGCATGTGGCCCGTATGGATCACCAGCGGTTTTTTGAAGTGGGCTAGCAGGTTGGGTGTCAGGTGGTTGCGCCGCGTCTTGAGGATCTGTTCATAGCTGGATCCTTCGTAGGCCACAGGACTATGACCGCACTCGGGCATCTCACTCTGCACCTGGTTCACCGCGGCGGGTGCTGCCTTTGAGCGCAGGGTTGAGCTGGAGCTCCTGCGGACCAAGGTGCGGGGAAGGACCCGACTGGTATGACCTGGAAAGAAAAGTGTAGGTTTATAGCAGTCATATCTGTATAGTAGGTATATGCATAAGAATGACTAAATGTGTGTACATTTTTATAGAAAATAAAGAACAAGAATATTAAAAACAAGAAAGGAAGCAAACTTCGGCACGCCGAAGTTCATATACCTTTGCAGCTATTGCAAGAATTAAATATTTTTGAAAACTTTAAAATTAAGATTAACTTGCGTATATGTTGAAAAACATTGAAGCTATGATGATTTGCAGCTGAATTATTAGATAGTTATTTTATATATTTATATTATTTCTATGGGAGCTATATAATATAGTTGTTCGATTTTGATAAAATTCATACCGTAATTCTGAAATATTTAACCATTACTATATGTCGAAGAACTAATAAAAAAAAATAAAAAACAGCAAAGTTATAATTTTTTTTGTATTTTTTTCTGGTTGTTCCTATTGGAGCTATATGATATAGTCGTTCGATTTTGATGAAATTTAAACCGTAATTCTGAAATATTTAACCATTACTATATGTCGAAGAAATAAAAAAAAAATTAAGAAACAGCAAAGTTATAATTTTTTTTTATTTTTTTTTTCGATTGTTCCTATGGGAGCTATATGCTATAGTCGTTTCATGCAGATAGCTTTAAAACTGAGAGACTACACTTATAATTTATCAGCGCCAAACTTAAAGCAAGGCTGTGTCAAAAGTGTGGCCTGCATCGGACCCGATCCCCCGCAAGGGTGAAATGCAAATTTCCTGGTACAGATAACTGCGTCGATGACAGTTCACTGACCATTAAATAGCAAGCGACGATGAATGTGAAATTTGCGTACTTAAGCGTGCTTAGCAAAGGGCTGTCCCAGGGCATCAAACTTTAGCCCACACCAAAAAAAAAATCTTTACCATTTTTATTGGTTTAGATTAATTTTATGTAAATCCAATTAAATTAAAAAATACAAAATTTTATTGTGGAGTGAAATCAAAAAACCTAAATGATTTTGTCTTTTTTTTTTGTCTGACTTATGTGTTTTGGTGCATGGCGCAGCAGAACCTATTGGAAATTATAAAAGCCCAAGTAGAAGGAGGAGTAGAAGGACATCCAAAAATTATCTGAATTTTCTCGCAGTTACTTTTCATAGTTTCTTTACAATAATTTACAGTTAGCGAAACAATACAAAGTTCCGAAAAAACTAATTTTTGGTTGCTTATTTTTGCGGAGGTTTCTTAAATCGAATTTTAATATACAGTATCATACAAATCATTGACATGTGGTCTATAATAAAACATTTTTAAAATTTCGAACGTGTGCTGAAAAGTGTGGAAAAAAATTGTGTACAAGCTTAAATTTTATAAAATGTAATAATTTGGGTATTCCCTAAGCGTGTTTACATGCTGAAATTGTCAAACAGCGGTTTCACCAAACAACCGTTACAGGTCCTGTTTGTAAACATCGTATTTTTGGTGATCAAGGGTCGTTCCCATTGTTTGCGAACAACAGTCTCATTCCATAGACGCATTAGTGAACTTTTTAAACGTGCCTGATTTCATTGTGAATGGCGCGAACAACTGATCTGGGATCGTTTACCTCTCAAAATTTGAATATGCTTCGATACAAAGTATAGGTTTATTGTTTTAGAAGTAAAGTTTTAATTTTATTAAAATCAAGCCACAATATCAAAAAGCTGATTGTAAAACACAAAAAAATAAAAATCAAAATATTGTTATTTTAAAAAAATTTAGTTTTTGGAATAGTTGCAAGGGTATATAAACTTGAACTTGCCGAAGCTTGCTTCCTTTCTTGTTATTTAAGCTTTAAAGTTTTGCGAAAATAAAATAAGTACTGAAGCATAGGTAAACATTTTTTTTGTAAACTATGACCATGGTTCACAATATTGGGTACTTTACTATATTTTAAACAAAAAATTTTGATATCAAACAAAAACACCTCTTAACGAGATAAAAAAGTCGGGACGACCGTACCTTCAACATATAAAATATTTCATATCAAATTTTGTGACGAAAATTTAATAAGTATTCAACTAAATAAATACACTTTTTAAACGTTCCCATTCGTCACGCTTTAATAAAAAATGCCTGTGTAGGCAAAATACCTTGATGAAGCGGTCCGAATACTTACAATAGTTCTGCTAAACGCGTATGATCACTGATCATACATATCTGCTAGCCTATATCTATGGTATAAAATATCGATAAGAATTAACAGAAAAATCAGAGTCTAAGCAAAAAAAAATAAAAACAAACAAAACAAGCATAACGTAATAAATTATTGCGTAATGAATTATAATTGTTCAGCAGAACAAACTTGATCACTGATTATTATTCCACCACTTATCACCTTTTTAATGACATATATCACTTGACTGTAAAGCAAGGAGTATGTGAGGGGGCCGATTGAATTTTATATACGGTATTATGAATAAATTTGGATATTTAAACATTTTAAAGCAAGGTTCAGAAAATTGGGTATCGGAAACAACTTTAACACACTATATATATTAGCTTACAAGCCACTTCCAGCAGAGATCTATCCAACATTCAGCATCCAAAAAATTTGCCAGTTAGTCCGGACTTTGACGGACTTATTTATGTGAGAGTTCCCGATGTTTTTTTTTTGGTGCAACCCTTTTACCATGTGAAACTCTAGTTCCCACAGAGCACATCCACTTTTCATACCCGTTACTCGTGGAGTAATAGGGTATTTTGTAATCGTTAATTACGATCAATAGCCTTGATCACGATCAATAGCCGAGTTAATCTAGCCATGTCCGTATGTCTATCCGACTGACCGTCCGAATGAACGTCGAGATCTCGAAAACTATAAAAGCTTAAGATTTGGGATTTCATTTGCAGGTTCCAGTAATTCTTACGCTGCGCAAACTTGGAGTGCTGTGGAGTGCTGCACACTCTTTGCTTCTAGTGTTGGCTATGCAGTTCGACAGTTGGTGTCACCTAATCTCCCATTTTTTGTGGGGGAATATTTATTTTTTAGTTGAGTAACGGGTATCTAAAAGTCTGGGAACTGGACTATAGCGTTCTTTCTTGATTTTTTGTATGCTAAGAGTGTTTCTCAGCAAAAAAAAAGATTAGATAAGTAACTTCAATTATATGGGCTACATAATAAAATATTTCGTCAAACATCGAATTTTCGTATGCTTGTTTTTACGCGGAACCCTTAGCTGATGGGACGTAACATTGTATGGGTCTTTACTCAGAAGCACCCAATTTTATAAAGTTAGATTTTGTGTTCCTATGTTGTGGGATGGAGCCACAGTATTATTTTACTCTACTAGTATTTATTTTAAAGGTTGTGCTCCTGATATTCTTTATAAACTGAAGCCCAATTTCTTAGACAAAATGTGATTACTCAATTTCAAACAGAACCTTCTGCTGCACTCGCACACGTGCATTTAAGCCTGTGCTCTGCATTGTAACGAAATTATATATCGGTAATTTTCGTAAAAATGTACAAAAAAGTATATGTACATTTGTACGAATGTCATATAATTTTCGTATATAGCCTTAAATGCGCAATGAAAAGCAATGGAGTCTTTATTAGTACTGAGCAGTTGCACCCATTTGAACTGATAACTGATAACAACTGGTCCCCCGCGGACAGCCTAGGCCACACGACTTCTTAGTGCGCTTGGCAGCAGCTCCGGATTATCAGCCTGCCACCTGTCAACTGTCAAATTATCAACTCTCGCTTATCTCTCTTATCTGCGCGTACACCAAACTGGACCCAACACGGGCCAAGCGTTATAAGCACGTCTGTACCTCTCTGATTAGTTTTTCACTAACTAAAAATACTGTCTTAATGTATCTTTCCATGCTTCTGATTTTAACCATAAAATCTGCCGACACATAGTTTCCGATTCCCAAATTTATGTATTTGATATTTGCCTTTACAAAAGTACCAGTGCTTTGAAATTGTCCACACTATATTTTCACATCTGCAAGCCCTGATCAGCCGATATTTCTAATAAATATTCAGACGGTAAATCAACTAACACTCAATTTAAATTTCCAAAAACAGGGACATATGTATGTAGAATATTGCATGGACAGAGAAGTGTAGTCGACAAATGGACCTTTGTCGTCGTTGTATCCTGCAGTAAACTCACCCAATAATCGCTTAGACATCATTTCTGAATTCAGTTTCCAATCTTCTGCTGTTCTGTGATCACCTTTCGATACACATATATTTTAGGTATGTATTTACTATTTTGATTTGAACAGCACTTCTACTCGCACTCGAATCAAAGCAGCGCGATCTGTCCGCATATAACGTCGTCGGCAGAACCACTGATCGGAGAATATGATTTTTATTCCAGTGCCAGCGGAGAAAGCTTAGCGGCCGAAAGCTTTGGACGACGATTTCAGATTGAAGAGCAAAGTCAAGGCTGCCGAAAAGCTCTCTCCTTTGCGGTTGAGAAAGCGCTGGGGGGAGGGGGAGTATCACACAGTGGGTTAACAGCTGGTTGTCTCATAGTAATTTATTTCAATTCTTGTTTGCTATGTACTGAAGCACAAACTACTAAAGTGCACAGGTAATCCTTTGTTTTTAACAAAAAATATATCGCTTTTATAGCTCCTTATTAATTGCTGCGCGGGGCGCTATCCCGGACTCAATGCGCAGTTCAGGGTGGCAGACATTTAACATTGCGGTGTAATTTACATTTACATTAGCCGTTGATATAAGGTAGGTCCTCGAATATGCTACATACATATATTGATTTATCATGTATGAATTATATATTATGCTTTATCAACCAACATCACGAGTTTGCGCTTTGATTCTCACATGGCCCATCACCATACCTACGGACTCTCCCGATCACTTAACCCGATGCAACATATTATAAGGATATATAAAACATTCGCGGGGTCATCTAAAAACAAGCTCTACGCGTCGTCGTGGGCTACAATGATTACACAAACATCAATAACCGATCTGAGCAGGAGCACAACGGCCTCTCCAAGAGACCATCCCGGGCGGTTCAGTTGAATTCGGTGTACAAATCGGGACTTCTCGGCGTTGTTGGTGGCTGCGACGGCTGTTCCAAGTTGGCCGCCATCTGGCGCAAGTTCTCCACGCCAGTCAGTAGTTGCCTGCAAGGAATGCGCAGTCGTACGGTCAGTCAGGTTGGTTACACCACAATTCTTAATCCGGCTTACCTCAGGTTCTGCTCCGCGGTGTCGGCGGCACGAAGAAGATCCCTTGACAAATGGTGCGTTCTGGACGGTCGCGTGGAGCTGCTTCCGCTACTTGAGGTGCTTTTGCTGCCCCTGTCAGGAGTCGCCGCAGGAGCACCTCCTGCGGCGCAATCCGAGTTGCCGGCGCCGCCTCTTAAGCTGCTAAGCTGCGCCTGAAAAAGATAATGGAGAATGTAATCAAACAAATCAAGGCTTACAAAACTCATTTAATCTTCCTGAGATCGTTTAAATCGAGTAAATGTTGTGCACACGGGCTCTCACCTCTAATTGAGCCAACTGGCGCCTCAAATGCTGCGTGGTCTGTGTGTTGGTCGTCGTGGCTGCCGCCTCCCGTCGCCTTGCGGCCTCAGAAAGATGCAGCAGCTGCTGCTCAAAGTCGCTAGCCCGCCTGGTCTGGACGTTAAGTTCCGCACGAGCCTCCTGAAGCTCCCGTTGCAGGCGCTCGTTCTCCTGGCGCAGTGACGACAGCTGCAACGTGCCGACCGCCTCCTGGGGAGGCGAGTCAATGGAATTGGAGGGCAGACCGATAGCCACGTCGGCCAGTCGCTGGGACGAGTGAATTATGGGGCCGTCCGACAGGAAGTCGGGCAGCATTTTGGCAGTGGACCCGGCGGCTGGCTCGCTGGGCGGACCAGGAAGCGCGACAGCGTTGGAGAGCGCCGACGGCAGCAGTCCCACTGCTCCACTCGCCGCCTCAGCCGCCCCCAAGGGCGAGTTGGGGGCGAGCTAGGGAGGGCGTCTTGCCCGCCGCACCAAGCGTCCGGCAGGTGATCCTGCACAAAGTCCGGTAAGCCGGCCGCTGCTGCAGCACCACCACTGGCCCCGCCACCCACTGCATTGCATGCGTCCAGCGGCAGGTCAAGCTTCATTTTGGGACTGGAGGACAGCACTAGAAGGGTGGGGCGTTGGTCGCGGTTTCCAGCCGGCCGACGGCGTGGCGAGGACGAGGAGCATTGCACATGGGGTGGCATCTCGTAGTTGGAGTAGGAGCGCGGCACGTAGCGCGTACCACTGGCGGGTTGCTGGTTGGAAGCGGCTGTGGGGAAAATATCTGTACAGGAAGCAGGAAGCGATTGCCGGTTAGTTGAAGTCCAAGCTGGAATCCGTTGCGAGCACTCACCGTCATCCATTCGGTTGTCGTAGTGCCTGCCCGTGTTGCGCACCTCGGCCAACGCCACGTGGTCATCGTCGTCGTTGTCCAGTGCGTCCTGCACGACGTCGTGGCCCAGCCGCAAGTCCGGCCTCAATCGATGCTGGGGTCCGCCGCCGCTGTTGCTACTGCTGCTGGTGGTGGGGCCTCCCCCGCAGGCTGCGTACTCAGCCAGACTCGCCTGCGAGTCGAAGGAGCTGAAGCGCGGAGACCGCTTCATCCTGGAGGAGGCACTGCTGCCGTTCACATCCGGCGGCTGCATGTGCGAGGCGGAGGCAGACTGGGGCACCTTGGGCCGGGCGCCCGTGGACGTCTGCACGGCGGCTGAGGTCACCGTGCTGGTCGGAGCCGTTACAGTGCCCGTGCTGCTTAGAAAGTGCTTAAAGGAGAACGAGGACGAGGCGGCTGCTCCCGATCCCGTGCCGCTTGTGGACGCGGAGACGTCGTCGTCTTGTGCTGCTGTCCTATGTTTAACCCTGGAAGTTAGCATTGTTTAGTTCATTTCAACCAAAAAATATTCAAGTTACTTACATTTTTGCAAAGTTCTCTTGCTTCTTTGCTGAAGCGGGCAAAAATAGGATATTTTTCACAACGGCGTTGCCACCCTATTGCAATACTTGCATGTTTTTGTAATTATCATCATTTGTGCAACTTATCTTTAACTTAAAGTTTAACTCCACATAGGCTTTATTTTTAAAGGTAACACAGGTAACTTATTATAAATAGTTGATTTATAGAAAAGTTAATAGAGTCTGCAGACAGCCGCTTTTAGCCAGTACTCTGATTGAAAAACAGTTTCGCCAGCGAAAAAATTTCATTCTTTCTAGTGAGACCGAAGTTTTATGAGTTCACCAGAGTTTGTGTGCTTTGATCATACTGTCAATCAGCTGGGCTTGTTGACAAACAAATTTAATTAAGAGAGCAAAATCAAAGATGTTGAGTATAAACGACACCAAAAATATATGTAGTATTGGAATGGCAGATACGCGACTTTTTCGTGTTTTTGTCGTTTTTCGACCCATTTCGCTTGCAAGTTCAAATCCCACAACACCTATGATTAAATTTTTCGCCAGGGCCTGACAAACATTCTTCGAGAGTTCATCCCAGACGTCTGGCAACGCTCTGCACATTTCTAGTATTTTTTCCGTCGACGATCAAAAAGGCACTGTCGAAAAGTGTCCGCCGGTTATTTGCCTCTCGCTCTCTCTCATAAGCGGCAATGGGTTTTCGTCGATCGAGTACAAGGCTTTAAAAGAGTTGTAGCGAAAAAGGTTGAAGCGACTCATTCACACAGCTGATGCAAAATTAGCTAAAAAGCAGAAGAGAAGGAAAAATTCAATTTTCCCGGCAAGAAAATGAATACTAACGAAAAACTAAATTCAATTTTGACACTCGCAAATGGAAAGTTTTTCTCTGCATCTGATCTATCCACTGATGTTGGCCTATGGTGCCCTTCTGTTCTTTTATATTATCGAAATGGCATTTGTTCATATAATTTAATTTTTTTTCATAAAATGCGCATTGTAGGCCAAAATGTATATCCATGTCCCAAAAATTCCAAAATAACCAAGTTAAAATCTTTTGAATACTGAAATAATACTGAACCGCTAAAGCGAGTTGTAGCGATTTTTTTCCGTCTCTTTCTAGCACATGCACCTGCTATGGAAGAAAATGCCGCTTAAGCGGAATTTGATCGCTGAAGCAGAAAAGACGCCTGTTTGAATAGGCTATAAGCCTATTACTCAGATTGACAAACAGTTTCGTCAGCGTAAAAAGTTTATTATTTCTAGTGTGACCGAGTTTTGGTCTAACGGTCTTACTATCAGTCAGCTGGGCTTGTTAACATTTGGAAAACAATTTAAATTTAACCCGCCAGCTTGAAACTATATTTAATCATTATCAATACTATAAATGTATATGTAATATTTACCAATGTAAATTTATGAATTGCAATCTTTGTAAATATTTTCAGATATATTTTGGGACGCATTCAAAAAAGTGATACCATGTTCTGCCAACTCAAGAGATTAAATATTATATTTTTTCGCCATAGAAATCTGACAACGCTTTGCAGTTTTTTTTGTCGATCTGAGTACCGGGGTGAAAAAAGGCACTACCGAAAAGTGTACGCCGGTTGTTTGCATCTCGCTCACCCTCATACCTGACGAACGGATTTCGTCAATCTGAGAACTGGGCTTTATTGTTGCATTTTTATATTTCGTTAGACCCTTGGACAAAAGTAGTAGACCTCGTGATATTTTTTAGAACCTCTAGCAACAACAAACAATAGTAAAAAATAGTAAAATTTTAATTTTCTTATAGGGTTTATTACCCCTTTAAAGTGCTCAAACTCTTCAAGGCAGTCTTTGCAAGCACACATAGCGCACTGCATACGTCTAAACAAAAGTTTAAAATATAAATTGTTATAAATCATAATTTTTGTTGCTATCCCAGATTTTGTTAATTTTCATTTACAATCAAAACAAACAGCCGCCTTTTTCGTTCAGGTAGACGCACATACTTGCGTTTGCCAAGTGTAAACGGCAGTTCTGCGTCTGTCAAATACAAAGTCCATACGAAAGAAACATATGATTAGGTAATTTTTAGATATACTGTTTAATCAATATTTATGTTTCTTTTAAGAACACTTTGGTAATTCAAAAACAATTAGAGTACCTGAACGATATTTTTATTAAAAGAATACCCCTGTTATTTCTCACTCGTAAACGCAGTTCTGTGAACCGCCCCGCGCCCAGTGTTGGTAAATGCGCACAGTCCAGCCATAGTAAACAAAACGCGACGTTCGGGGTTCGCTGCCCATTTTTAATGCAATAAAAATAAAAGCGAAAGGCAAGGCGCAAACACGCAATTGGCCGTCGCCCTACCTTCTGAGGCCATAAATCCGGGATTAAGCGTTTTTGATCGTAGCCGCAACCGTGTTTCCTCGAGTGTGGTGTTGTCCCACTGCTGTGGAAGGAAAATTCTGCGTAGCAAACAAACCGGTCGGTCTTGTACATACATTGTATATATACATAGTATATACACACAGACACTAGTTCGGACGCGTACATGGCCGAGAAAAGCGTTGCAGTGCATTTTGTGTGGCAAATTAATTGCGCCGAGTGTCTCGAAAAACATCATTTGCCTGCCGCAGACGTAATTATTGGCGTCCATATGCCCCTGCTCAGCCGCGGGGGTGAAGGTGTGTGCATGTGAGCCTGCGAGGGTGGTGCGCCGAAAGCTCGCGTATTGTGAATTGCCGTGCAAACATATACAGACCCACCCCACGACTTCCCGCTCCGACAGCAGCGAGTGTTCCACTTTTGGCTGTCCTGATTTCCCTGCAGTGCAGCCAAGACGTCAGCTTCCTCACGGGCGTGTTCTTCGCGGTGTCCTAATTTCTGGGAACGCAGCGTAGGAGATCGAAGGACCCCGAACCAGGACATTTGCAGCATGCTTGAGAGCTGCGGCAGGTAAGCCTTTCGCAGCCAGTTCCAATTGGAAATTCGTCCTGCCGCCCAGAAAATCCTTTCGGTTCGGGTCACTCTCTCGTCCTCCCTCTCCGTATTTCCCCCGGTTGGTTGACTTCTTAACTGGCCTCTTTGGCTTTTCCCCTGCATTTGCCTTTCGTTCACCTTGCACGGTGGAGTCGATCGCACGCTGCCAGCCACAAACAAGAAGGAACGCCTTAGCCGAATGTTTCCATTGCCTAAATAGGAAAATAATTTGCTTCATTTTTTTAAGATCAACTGTCTTTAAAATTGTATTTTCAATGATTAGAACCCACATTTTTTATAATAGGCAGAATATCTGAAAAAAATTGTAGGCTTAGTAGAACATTCAACTAGTTTTCTTTCATGTAATATATATATTTTTGCATGACATAAAAAAAGAGATCTTTTTACTTTTGGGCAAGTTTCATGATTTTTCTTCGTCATTGTTTTGATCCCATGGAATTCACTAATAAGGTATTTTTTCTAATTTTTCTATATATATCTATAAATACGCCTTTAAAGTTTAAAAATCTAACTGATCGTACAACCGTGTCCTAATGGTGTCATGAAAAGAAGGAAAGGACCTAAGATCCGTTTCAATTTGTTATGATCCATTTTATGGAATAACACGTTAAAAAAGGGTTTTCTTGGGGAATTCTTTTCCAAAACAAGAAATTTATAAAGCAAATTCAAAATAATTATTAATATTATTATCGTTTTCGTGATTGTTACCAATGTGTATGCACAAAAAGACAAACCGGACAATCTAAAAACAGGAGCAGTAACTGCTGTTTGATGAAACTGTTTTTTGACTATTTCAGCAGAAAATATTTTGGGTGGTTTCCTTAATAGCTGAAAATTCAGCAGAAAGAGGTTTAGCAGTTAAATCTTGAAAAGCCTTAAAAAACGATTATGCGATTGCCAACGCAGCTCTCTTTTTAAATGACATTTATGATATTTTTATCATAAAATGACAAATTTACATCAAAAAGCCTTGTAACAAAAAATGTGTATTTCGAATACAACTTTTAAATAAAGGTCTTGTTATAGGATATTTTTCTGCTTATTTCAAGAACTATTTCTTGTCGCCAGCTTCAAGCTTAAAAAATTTAAAAATAATCGGAGGTCGAGGCCTTTTGGAAACCGCGCCAAAAATTCAAAATCGAATATTTTTCAATTTAATTTTTTTTTAAATATCACTTTGAGTCCAGGCTTAACGCAGCTTTTTTTTTGAAGACTCCGACCGACTGCCGTTACGTGATTAATAAATAATAAAAAAAATCCTAGATACTCTTTAAATATAGGCATTTAACGTGTAAAAAACTTGAATATTCATAATCACTCAGAAATGAGAAAACAAAAAGTGGAAGAATTTGTTTTTTCCGCCTCGTAAACCATCCATTAGGCAAATCCATTTCCATTTAGTCTTCTGGCTTTCGGGGTGTACAAATTCATAGAATACAGTTTTTATCCAGGTCGATAAACTAGCTCTAATCAAAACGATTCGTCCAAAGTTGTATATATATTTAAGACGTTCAGCAACTGTACCCAGAGATAGCTGAAGGTCTGCGGCGACGCACAGATGAAACTAGCGCTAGTCCTATCTGAGTCCGGGGATCACTCCTTAGGGACTGCTAGTGTGATGAAAGTTATCAAAAAGTTGTGTTGTAAAGATCCAATAACCAACTATGAAATCGAGTTTTTCACTTCGATTTATGTATACAATAATACAAGGTTAATAAAACCAACGACAATATATTTTATAAAGATAATAAATTTAAAGAAGATTATTTTGGCCTTATAACTTTTTCCGTAAGCCGACAATATTTTCCAGTAATGAATTTGCTCCACTGTGCTGGCCTTAGTGTTTTTCATCTGTCATTGCTGCCTCTGCTTTTTCTTCTTCTTTCGTTTTGTATACAAATTATGGTGAGCTGTTGTTGTAATTGTTTTTGCAGTTGTTGCTTTAAGCTTATATGGGCAGTGCATTCCACTTGTTTGTTGTTGATGTTGTTGTTGCTGGTGCTGTTTTGCTGGCCATGTACACATACTGTGAAATGTTATAAATATAGACTTTAATTTGCCTTTAGCTGAGTTCAGTTGTTGTTGGAGATTATTTGAAAATTGATTTTGTTTGGTCTGCAGTTAATAATTTATCCTAAAGTCCCCCCGGTTTCTGCCCACTGCAGTATGAAGCGTTCAATATGGCAGGAAAATGAAAAGGTTGCCCTTCCCTTCTTGGCTGCAGGCGGTTGGATTCCTTCTTCTTTGCTGTGCGTCTTGGTAATTAAATTAACGTGTTCAGACCACCCATTCTGCCACTTTCCTCCCTTTTCGCTTCGCTCCCAACCTTAGCAATTCGTTGACCCATATTCCACATTTTTGTTGTGCTGTTAATTACTATTTGTAATTCTCGTCTTTCAGTTTGCCTTCGAGGCTGTGTGCTGTTCATTGGTCTGTGATAAGCCACGATTGGGCTGATTTTCATTTGAGCTCGATAGTTTTTGGAGGCTCGTTATCTGGTGGGAGGAGGTTACCTTCCTTCATAGTGTACACTAGTCAAATTCAATAAGAATAGTCAATTTAATGACCTGCTCCAAAACTCTTTTTAAAGAACCACACTGAATCTTTTGTCCCTCTGTCAACATTCGAAAGACTTCACACAACATTTTTTGACTGCGACAAAAAAAGTATACTGGCGGAATGTTAAGATATATTAGCTTGTTGGCTTTGTTAATGTGTTATCCTCCCAAAAGGCGTTAATATTAACTTATGTAATATTTGAAAATCGGATGAAATCTTTTTGAGTTATCTTGTATACCGCAACCGTTCTTTTAATAAAACGCATTCAAATGAGCATAAAGTTAGCAGTAAAACTTTATAATTTAAACTTTTTTATTCATAATTACCCATTAATTATCGACACATAAATCGTAAAAAACAATAAAATTTGCCGCTTAATTTTTTAAACATTTTTTAGGTATTCTGCTAACTTGATATTAATAACTAATTACGCTTATCGAGAATAGTTCTTGGTTCTTTGTTCATATCATGTATTATAATTCCCTTCATCTTAGTTCTTATAGAGACTGCTTGAAACGGAATCTTTTTAATTATTGTTAGGAATAGAATGAACCATAATAAATAAATACATTTTGTCGCCCTTGTCTGTTTAGAAAATAAATATAAAAATTGGATTCTTTCACGAATAATTTACGGATAATTAACGGCAAATTCCTAGTGAAAAATTGTATGGAAAAGTTAAAGTTTAGTGGAGGTATTCTGCTAACTTGATATTAAGTTCGCAGAACAGAGAATAGTTGATATCAAGTAAGCTGAACAGAGGGTTTATTTAAAAAAACAAGAAAGAAAGCAAACAAAGCAAGCAAGCCGAAGTTCATATACCCTTGCAGCTACAAGTATTGCAATAATTAAACATTTTTGAAAACATTAAAATTATGATTTACTTGCGTATATGTGAAACAACATTGTAGCTATGATGATTTGCAGCTCAATAATTAGATAGTTATTATACCCTTCCAGAGGGTATTATAATTTCAGTCAGAAGTTTGCAACGCAGTGAAGGAGACATCTCCGACCCTATAAAGTATATATATTCTTGATCAGCATCACTAGGCGAGTCGATCTAGCCATGTCCGTCTGTCCGTCCGTCTGTCCGTCCGTTTATATGCAAACTAGTCTCTCAGTTTTAAAGCTATCTGCATGAAACTTTCCCAAAAGTTGTCTTTCTATTGCAGGTAGTATATAAGTCGGAAAGAGCCGGATCGGACGACTATAGCATATAGGAATTAAAAAACAGCAAACTTATAATTTTTTTAAATTTATTTTTTCGATTGTTTCTATGGGAGCTGTATGCTATAGTCGTCCGATCCGCTATATACTAGCTGCAATAGAAAGACAACTTTTGGAAAAGTTTCATGCAGAGTCGCCCCGAACTATTAGTCCTGCTGGGTCCTTATCCTGTCGGCAAAGTCAAATCAACCGATTCACTTCACTTCATGCCCTTTTAAAATCCGGGTTCATAAACTTGGTGTAGTTGATCACGGGTTCACTCGATCTCGAGTTCGTTCTAAGCATGATCTTAAGCGATTACTAAATAAAGCCAAGAATTATTACTTTACCACAAAACCGTATGGATTTCACCTTTAAAGAGAAACAAGAAACCAAACTTTTCAATTCCATTTTACGTCTCCACCACTACTGATCACAATATAACTATAATAGGCAAACCAGTAAGACCAAATGGCCTTGTTAAGTCAACAAAAAACATATTAGTTAGACTATGATGACCCTTTCAGTTTATAATTTCTAATATGAGCAGGAAGTGAAAACGAAAGTCCTTTAAAGCTTAAAGTTTAAAAAATGATTTCATTGGAGCACACTATTGCCCATTCAATAAAATTTTATACACCTAACTATATTTAATTTCTCCAAAAACTAAAAGTTATCAGTTGGCTTGATATTAAGAACAGAAGGACTTTAATCTTTGGTTGCACTCCCATTTCAGCAGCTCTCCGCTTGACTCCCCGATGCATTTCGGGCACAACGAGATCGTTGGCTTAGATGCGCTAGCCTAGGATTGGACTGCGATAAGATGTCGTCGAGCAACGGCGGACTCACCAGTGCCAGTAACGGCCGCAGCGGTAGCACCGGCAGCGCAAACATAAACCTTAATCTCAAGGGCCAGGAGCGGGTTGTAGGAGCGGCCTCTGGGGCTGGTGGATCAGGTGGCACGACCACGTCAATTACACATAAAACACTGCCGGACCTGAAGACGCAGAGGAGCAATAGCGCATGTACCGCCCACGAGTCACTTACCGCCCTTCGTCGCATCGCGCTGCCGGAAAAATCGGCCGAGAAGCCGCTAAGCTATGCTGCGCCCCAAAGCCGGGCCTTCAGCAAAGAGGCTAAGGACGGCCACCTGGTATACTGCGATGGGCGGCTACACTCGGGTCCGCTGCAATCACTCATTGTCCACATGGTCCCTACCCACGAATACTACCCGGATGACGGATTTGTTTTCGCATTCCTCCTTAGCGCCAGGCTTTTTGTGCGCCCCCACGAACTTTTAGCGCAGATCTCTCAGACTTGGGAACAGCAGCAGCAGGGCGTGAGCGCCGGCGGAGACGTGGTGGACGATGCCGGACAGGTGCCAGGCCGACCCCAGCTGCTTAGCATCAACTCCGCTTCGCCGCTGACGCAGCGGAAGGGATCCGCGGCGGCTGTTGCCGCTTCCAGTTCAGAGCTGGAGCCGCGACCGCAGCAGCGGACGAGCACTCAGCGCTCTGCTCAGTACTGCATAAGGCTACTGTCGGAATGGATCGAGATCTTTCCGTACGACTTCAGAGATGAGCGGCTAATGCAACAGGTTCGCATTTTGGCAAGGAAGTGCGTGTACATCGACAATTCGCTGGGCAAGCAGGTATCGCGCATACTGCAGCTACTAGTGTCCCGGCTAACGTCACTAGAGCAGTACGAGGAGTTTCTGCAGACGCTCACCACGGAGGAGGCACAGAGTCAACAGCAGCAGCAGCAACACCACCACCACGGACATCATCATCACTTGCACAATGCCTTTCAGACCTTTTTGGGCACCTCTTCCCATGCTAACGGTGCCAGTGGCGGCGGATCAACCAGCGGCACCTCTAATTCCTCCTCAAGTGGCCACACCTCCTCTGCCTCCACCTCCAACTCGATCTCCACAACTCCACAGCCGGACGAAGTGTTCGGCATTATGGACATGTGTCCAAGCTGTGCCGACTTGGCACACCAGCTGACTGCCATCGAGCTGGAGCGCTTGTCGCACATTGGGCCGGAGGAGTTTGTCCAAGCCTTCACAAAGGATTACCAGCAGAAGGCGAAGGATGGGAGCAAGGAGGGCGGCAAAGGCAAATGCATTGGAGGCGGTGGTGGTTCGTTGAACGACATGAAAAAGACACGGAACTTGGAGTCTTATGTGCAATGGTTCAATCGCCTCAGTTATTTGACGGCCAGCGAGATTGTCAAGGTGGGTAAACAGTGAGCAATCCTTTAGACGATATGCAAACATTTAATATGTTAAAATACATTTTATTATTGTCCCTCACAGTACCCTAAGAAAAAGCAGCGTGTGCGTATTATAGAGTATTGGATTGAGACAGCCCGCGAGTGCTTCAACATTGGCAACTTTAATAGTCTGATGGCCATTATAGCTGGTCTAAACCTGGCGCCCATAGGCAGACTCAAGAAGACGGTAAGTTTTGGGGGGTGTATTCATTATGTTTTGGCCTCTACTAATTTTGAATTCAGTGGGCCAAAGTGCAATCGGCCAAGTTCTCCGTGCTGGAACATCAAATGGATCCAACATCGAACTTCAACAGCTATCGCTCCACGCTCAAAGCTGCGATGTGGCGCTCGGAGGGTGCTACTGAGGAACGAGAACGCATAATCATTCCATTCTTTAGTTTATTTGTTAAGGACTTGTACTTTCTGAACGAGGGCTGTTCAAATCGGTAAGTGTTTTGTGGTAGTCTCACACGTAAGACCACTAATTGCCGACTTCCTAAACAGGCTGCCAAACAATCATATCAACTTCGAGAAGTGCTCCCAACTGGCCAAACAAGTGATGGAGTTCAATGAGTGGAAAAAAGTGAACTGTCCCTTCGAGAAGCTGCCCAACATCATAGCCTATCTTCAACACAGCGCAGTGCTCAATGAGAACACTCTTTCGTTGGCATCCTTCGAGTGTGAGCCGCCAGAGAACACGGAGGAGAAGGACCGCTACAAGACCGTAAAGGCGGAGACAAAGCAACAACTGCTACAGCAGCTGCAAGAGCAGCAACAATAGTCGCAGTAACCACTATGTAGAGGGTAGACTAAGCTACGCTTAAGCGCTTGCCATGATTATTTTTTCACTAGAGCCGTAAGACCGGGGATATTTTAGTCTAAGTTAATGAGAAAGATGAGTACAGAGGGTCAACAAGCCCCAAGCCCTGATTAGCCCCTTGCTGCGAAAGAAAAGCTTTTGAAGCTAAATTTTGTCAATCATTTTTATTTTCACTCACTCGCTTTCTCTTTTTGTTCCTGTCCCGTATTTCCTCTGATGGGTCGCGGCGGGTTTTTTGAAGAGAAGCTCCGAAACGCGCGCAATAACTTTATTTATTTAACTAGACGACTAGAAGGGTGGAAACAACGAACCAATGTACTTAAAGCCTTATATGGCTAACAGCTAATGCAACTAATTTAGCTATTAACGTGGCATTTTTGGTATAATTTATGATATCATAATTATGACCAAAACCATTTGACAAATCTGCTTGAGTACGCGATGTTCGTACGTGACCAGTATTTATATTTATGTATACAATTTTATAGCTAAATGAAATCTTTTTGATATTTCTTTACGATTACAACCGAATATAATCCGACGGATTACATGATGATTCTTTCTCGAGGCTTTTCTGTATCAGTAACATTATATCCGCAAATTATCAGTCCCTGAGCATAAACATTTTTGTACAATTAAGAAAACCAACAGAACAACAATTAGGAAAAGCAAAGTAGAAACGGACACTTTGTGGTAAAAAGATACTTTTCCAAAAAATTTGATTTTTTACGATGCAGTTGCAAGATTAAATAATAGTGTGGATTAAATCATAAATGATATTAGCTATAAAGGGACTAAACACAACATTAATGATTAAAACTGCTTTCGAATAAAGGATATGAACAAAACCAGTTCTTATAACAAAATATTAAATTTTGTACATGGAGATTGTTTGTTTAATGGTTTAATTTTACTGGCTTGGCGCATTTCAATAAGAACGTTATTGGAGTAGAAAGATGTGAAATGCCAAAAAAGTCAAGAATTCAAACTGAGTAAGTCTCTCATAGAAATGACCTTATCACCTAATACTCATTATTGGAATCACTAGTACCAGTTGCATCCGGACACCAGCTGACGAACCTTAAAGAAATTGCCAAACTGGATTATTATGGAGCTGGTAGGAGCGACACATGCCATGCGGTGTCAAAAATGAGGCCCAGCTTGTAAAACAAAAGATGGGTAATCATGTCTTACTCAAAGGTAAAGTGATCATCAGATCAAGATGATTCAAAGTTCAAGGACTTATTGTGGTAGTAACCAATACGCTGGAGCAAAATAATTTAGTTTCCTAAATAAAAAAGTGCCTTGTTCTGCAGCGTGCCGAACAAAAAATATAGAAAATGTAGCGTTTGTTGCGTCGAACATAAAATCAATTTACGTTACAAAATTAGATATCAGACATTTTGTTAAAATTCTTTACTTGGTAAAAGGGTTTTTATTTCAAAAATAAATTATTTTTCACAATAAAAATAATGAACGAAGCAGACGGTTGTATCCCGAAGCTGCGAAGGTCGCAATCGAGACAAATTGTTAGGACTTTGCGGTTTATTTTCAGACGAGTCCAGAACCTTTACGTGGACCATTCATCAATATCCTCTTTACCTAGTAATGTTAGTCGTTTGATCTCTGCAGGATTTCAACGTTTTAAATTTGTAAGCTAATGTAATTAAAGACAAAAAGGCAACAAAAGGTAAAGGTAAATCATTGAATTGATTTCTTATGTGGCCCTTATAGACTTCATCATGCTGGATCCGACCATGTTCTTGGAACTGCTCCATCGATGGAGCATTGAAGAACGCAATGCACTTGCTGCATTTTTTTACAGTCTTCCTGTTGGAATAATGCCGTGGGAGGCGTCCGCAGAACATAAACTAAAAGGTCTTAAGAATTAAAGAATTTACTACTTTTCATTAAAATATATGAGTACATTACAATAAAATATTATATTAATTATATATATTTTATTTTTGAAATATAATATTTTGGGCGGTTTTTTTTGGCATATTTTGTGGATAGATAGAAGTTCACGCAATATTGAATAAAAAGTTAAAAAATCTGGTGAAAAGTGATGAATATGTTACTTATTTAGCTGTATTTCTTACTTATTTCTACATTATCGACAAAATCATTAAAAAATTATTAATTTTTTATCAATGGGACACTTAGCTTTCAACTTATTTTCGGGTACCTTCCGGAAAAGAAGTGATTCCTTTAAAAATAAGTTCTTTAGTCAATTAACCGCCAATTGCGCGCATATTGCTTTAATTTTAGAGAATCGCGGTTTCAAGTATGAACCTAATTTAAAGGAGAGGCAGTTATAGAAGTCTAATGCAGCACGATGCAGCCCAAAAGCAAGCTGCATCTCTTATATATTCTCATACGAGAACTAAACTCAATTTTAAATGTTTAAAAAATAAATAATTGTTTTTTAAACTTTTGATAGTGCAGATGCAAAGAAAAAACAAAAAAATATATGCATTTTTGTTGGGTTGATTACTTTACTAATATTGGCAACTTGGGCACCAAAAGATGGCATTTTTAAAAGTTGATCAATTTAACACCATTTCATATTTTTTTGCGGTTTACATTTTTTTTTTGATTTGGATGTCTGATACTTAAATGTGTTTTAAAATATATTGAATCCGTTCCCTACATTTTTTTCTATGCTATTCTATATTAAATATGCAAAAATTTGAAATATTTTCCGAAATTGTTTATAGTATAATAAGATATAGTTATCTTTTAAAAATCTTAAAAATGTTAGTTTTTGTTTGTTAAAAATATCGATATTTTTAAAAGAGTATCGGCTTTATTTCAGCTTCCTAGCTGTACATAGAAAGAAATGCCAACAAATTAGATTTCTGGCCCAGTGTGCAATGAGAAACTAAAAAAAGCTCCAGCTTACTGATAAAAATATAAATGAAGAACTGTGGGTCGTCCAAATCAATATCTTCAGGGATCGACCATAGTGAGATATAGATTTTCCAGCTGCTGATATAGATTGTGTAACACATAATTGCAACGTCCATTCATTAGTTGACATTAAGAAAACTTCAACTGCTCTCGAATGTTTCCAATTCTTGATACCTTAAAATTCTGTCGCTTGAATGGTTCCATAAATTTGTTTTGCTGAAGTTTCCGTAAGCTCTAGCAGAGTGTAAGATGCCATTCATGTCCTATATTAGAATATGTGCTGTTGAGATGAGCGAGCAATTTGAGTTGTGTGTAAGTCCAGCAAACACCTGTTTTGACAAACCGCCCTGAGAGTCAATTATTCGATCCAACGTATGGCAGCTATATGACATTAAAGCTATCTGCATAAAACGTTTCCAAAAGTTGTTTTCTTGATGCGGGTTGTATATAAATCGGAACGTGCTGGATCGGACGACTATAGCATATAGCTCCCATAAGAACAATCGGAAAAATAAATTTAAAAAAAAATTATAACTTAGCTGTTTTTTAATTTTTTAATTAGTTCTTCGACATATAGTATTGGGTAATTATTTCAGAATTACGGTTTAAATTTCATCATAATCGGACGACTATATCACATAGCTCCCATAGAAATAATAAAAATATATAAACTATCTAATATATGAGCTGCAAATCATCATAGCTTCAATGTTTTTAAACATATACGCAAGTAAATCAATTAAAACGTTGCAACTATAAAGTTATGATCAGTATCACTACCAGAGTGGATTTAGCCATGTCGGTCTGTCTCTTGTCCGGTTTCTACGCAAACTAGAACCTCAGTTTTAAAGCTATTTAAATAAAAAGTAAAAAAATTCGTATTTCTATTGCATATTGTATATAGTCGGAACAGGCCAAATCGGAATTTGAAACCAATACTTCATTGCTTTAAAGTTTATTTACTCCTAGATATGATGGCTTACTGTTTTAAAAATACTGTTTTAATTTTATAAAAATAACAAAATACTATAAAATTGAAAAATTCTACGGAATAAATCGTTTTTTGTTGTTTATAATAATTAATTTTGGCTTACCAAAGTTTACTTCCATTCTTGCTTTAACTGATTTTCTCATAATTTTTATCACTACAGGGCATATTTTGCTGTTAACGTATAAACAACACCTAGATCAAATATATAAAATAAAAAACCCTTTCTAGTCAAAAAGGAGTGCATTAAAAAAGTTGTTGTGTTTTTGGGCAACGTGATTTTTATACCCTTGCAGAGGGTACTATAATTTCAGTCAGAAGTTTGGAACGCAGTGAAGGTATATATATTCTTGTTCAGCATCACTAGGCGAGTCGATCTAGCCATGTCCGTCTGTCCGTCCGTTTCTCCGCAAACTTGTCTCTCAGTTTTAAAGCTATCTGCATGAAACTTTCCCAAAAGTAGTCTTACTATTGCAGGTAGTATATAAGTCGGAACGAGCCGGATCGGACGACTATAGCATATAGCTCCCAAAGGAACAATCGAAAAAATAAATTAAAAAAATTATAACTTGGCTGTTTTTAAATTTTTTTAGTAATGGTTAAATATTTCAGAATTACATTTTAAATTTCATCAAAATCGGACGACTATATCATATAGCTCACATGGAAACAATAAAAATATGTAAAAAAAATGTATTAAAGATTACATTTTTTATTCTTTTCGCCAGGGCCTGACACACATTCATCGAGAGTTCATCCCAAACAACTGCCAAAGCTCTGCACATTAATAGTATTTTTTCCGTCCATCTGCGTACCGGCGTGCAAAAAGGTACTGTCGAAAAGTGTTCGTCGGTTATATGCCTCTCGCTCTCTTTCATAGGCGGCGATCGGTTTTCGTGAATTTCTTAATTGACTTCCATTTGACCTGTGGAAAAATACTCATATCTAGTGTGGTGGTCACCATATAATCCATCATGGGCCAACAACAGTGGATGAACCATTTGATGAGGAAAAACTTTTCACTTTAAGCCTAGAACTCAGATCGACGAAAAGTTTTAAGAGTTCATCCGAGTTCGTGTGCTTTGGTCACACTGTCAATCTGGTGGGCTTGTTGACAAGCAAATTAATTTGAGAAAGCAAAATCGGAGATGTTGAATATAAACGACACTAGAGTTAAATTTGGTATTGGAATGGTGGCAGATGAAATACAAGCAAATTGCATAGCGTTGCCAGATGAACGAACGCCCGGCCCCGGCGTTAAGAATTAATAATTAAATCTCTGAAAAAATGGACGGAAAAACCCAAGAACTCAGCAAAATGTACTACAATAACACAATGTTGACTACAAAATATTACCGATCCATTTATATGCCAGTTTTGTTGTTTTGATTATATACATATAGCTGCAAGCCGGCGGGTTAAATTTAAATTGTTTTGCATTTGTCAACAAGCCCAGCTGACTGATAGTAAGACCGTAAGAACAAAACTTTGGTCACTCTTGAAACTTTTTACGCTGTCGTAACTGTTTGTCGTTCTAAGTACAAGGCTTTAGGTTTGTTTACTTATCGTAGGCTTTTGAAACAGCGGGTGCCTGTGTGAATGGGCAGCTACAACTCTTAAACGGTTGTCTGCAGACAGTATTAGTTGGAAACATGCTGAATAATGTAAAAATACATTGCAGTGAAATCCTCTTTTTACAGTAAAATATTCCTAACAGGCAGTCACCGAAGCGTCTGCTATTTTTAAGGATACCAATTTAGTACATTTTCGGTGAAGGCCAATTGCGTCGGTCCCAGCGTGGCCACACTAAAGGCAGCCTGCGAAGGTGTTGGACGCGACCAAACGCGCACTCCGATTCGAAAGCTTAACTATGTGCTACCGTTCGGGCCGTTGTTGACGCGGAAAAATCGATTGTGCCCGTGTGATTATTTTTGTTTTGGTTTGCGGCCTCTCGTCCCCGTAATAACCGCGCGGTCTCGGCCTCATGACTCATGCCAGGCAGCAACAATGAAAAACCACAATAAGTACGTCAAGTTGCCCCAAGACCTCGATTTGAGTTTCCACAGCGATTTGGACTTGCTGCCGGACACGGCGGCTGACATTGACGCAGAACTAGACGCGCTTGCGGACGCGGATGTGGCCGCGCTCAGTGTGAACGTGCCCCCGGCTCTGGGCCTGGACGAGGACTACGACGACGACGACGTAATCATCGCCCCCGGCGGGGGAGGCCTTCGACTAGCTCCCACCGCATCGGAGGCAGTGGCGGCCCGTAGGCAGCAGCGCAGGCAGCGGAAGCATCAGCTGGAGCAGCAGCAGCAGCAACAGCAGCAGCAGATACTAGTTAGCAGCAAGATCTGCGGCCTGGGCAGCGACAGCGTTATCGAGGTGAGTTACTTCCAAAAGGCGGATCTGGGGTAAGACTTTGAAGATACTTCGAATACCTTTGCGGGAATTGGGCTCATTCGGCGTCTGCAACTTGTGGCTGGTGGTGAGTGCTGGGCCGAAAAACACTCTGCGAAGTCCAAAGCACAACAAAGCCAAACAAGGGGGCGGGTGGGCACCAGGCGAAGGAGCGAAAAAATCGATAAGCGACAAAGAAGTATTCTGCAATTTGTGGCAACCCCCGTGGCCGCTTGTGCGGGGTTTCCCCACACAATCCCTGTTGACTTTTAATCGGCGAGTGGGAACGGCACGCAGGTGGGCGGGCAGAGACACGACGGATTTGTTCAGCGGAAGTGTTCTCTAATGGTAATGTGGTCCCATATTAATGGAATTTGTGTTGACACAGTCGTTCACGCTTTCGGGAGATAGGGAAATGACGAGAATAAGCATAAGCCCAAGTTCTTGATGTGGCCATGGCATCAATTTTCTCTCGCTAGATTACGTTTCAAGTAGGCCAGTGTCCTAGAAAGCCCGAAACTACCCTGGAAAATCAATCGAAATGTCCTGAGTTCCGCCTCCGTAACTTGTTAATAATTCATCTTGATGTGGCCACTGGGCATTAACTGGAGGAGGTGAGGTGGCGCTCCAAGGGGCTACTGCAGTACCCACGCTCTTTTCAATCAATAACACGTCAGACCCGTGTCAATCTCTACCAGTGTTGTGATGTACCTAGGTACGTACCTAGGAATAATTTTTGGTACCTTATAGCTAGCCTAGGTAAAATATGTAAGGCTACCTTTTACCTTACTAGGTAATGATTTGTATTTATCTTAAGAACATGCCGTGTTAGGTGTTTGGGTACTGAACTATTTATACCCGTTTCTCGTAGAGTAAAAGGGTATATTGTATTCGTTGATCAGGATCATTAGCCGGGTCGATCTAGCCATGTCCGTCTGTATGGACTTCGAGATATCGGAAAATACAAAAGCTAGAGATTTCGGATTTGGCATGCAAATTCTAGTATTTCCTACCCAGGGCAAGTTTATTTCAAATCGGAGACACGCCCACAAATCGTGAATTAGTAAACACGTCTATCTTGTTACTCTGATATTTGTTAGATCCTGCCGCGACTCTGCCGCTGCTCGGTCGCTGCTTTCCGTAATCGCTGCAGTAGAGAGACACATTTTCACAAATACTTTTTACTTTACCTTACCAATAAACTAGTACCTTTCCCTACACTGATCATAATCCTGACCCCTTATCGACAATAAAACAAACACACAAAATAACATAGTTAATTGTGACGCGATGTACTACGACTTGGTCGTCAGGTAAAAGTTCCGCACCCCCGCTTGATGTCCGCGATTGAATTGTTGTTACACTTCTGCCTGGGTGGAAAAGCTTTGACGAGCTTGTCAAACTCATTGGAGCTTATTCTGTGTGTTGTGCATCTTGAAGAGGCGTTAAAATTGAATTTTTTTGTTTCGACACGCTTGAACCATTAGCCAGAGTGATATTGATTGTCGGCTTGAAATACAAAACATTTTATGCTCTTGTTAATTTACTGTGTCGTTTTTAATCAATACAAATATTATAATACACCTTTGCCAAAAATATAACTGTCGTAAAAAAAGTTAACAAACTTTTATTTTTAAAATGAACTGAATTTTAACTTCATCTTAACCATAAGGGTCTTTTGTTAGGAGAAAGGAAAAACATATATATAAAAAAAATGTTTCAGGATGTACCATAGAATGCACCGATGAAAAGTTATTGTTTTAACAAAGTATAATACTGAGAATTTTAAAAAATCAAAAGGAATTACGGGAACAATTACAAAAAAAACCAAAATGAACGCTATTGTTTAGTTTCCCGACTTTTAGGTACCCGTTACTCAGCCAACAAACTATAACCTAAATATTTCCCCAAAAAACAATAGAATAGTTTTGCAATAAACTTGCACTCGCAAAATTAAAAGAATCTGCATTTCAATTCCCAAATCTCTAGCTTTTTTAGTTTCCGGAACGAATCCCTTTATCTGTTTCATTCGATTGCAATATACCCTTCTACGAGTAACGGGTTTATCTAACGAATATTTAACGGTAAATGGAGAGTATATAAACATGTGCTCTCCGAAATCAGTATTGTATTTTTTAACACGTTTCAAGAGAAAATAGTTAGAATACGTACCTGCACAATATGAAGAAAATTCTATATTTTATGGAAATGGAAACTAAATACTTCTTTAATATTGCATGTTAGCAGTATAATACAGCTGTATTCCAAAGTATTAAAATATGGTCCTAAAAGCCTGCACACTATTAAATCACACCATACTATCGACATTAAATTACTTTTATAGCGGCTCCTCCTGTGAATAGCGATAGTGAACAAGAAAATATAAAGCTTATTTGTATAGCATTTTTTCAGCCGAGAGACAAATTATATGAGATTGCTTTTAAAAATCACAGCAATGTTTCGTTTGGGCTTTTCACGTGGAAAATACACAAATGTAATAAGTACATTACTGCATTTCAAACTACTGACTGAAATTATAATACCGTCTGCAAGGGTATAAAAATTGTCTCTACATTTTATTTAAGATATTTACCATACTTTTTATACCATTGCAGAGTGTATTACAATTCAGTCAGAAGTTTGCAGCACAGTGAAAGAGACACTTCCGACCCTATAAAGTATATATATTCTTGATCAGCATCACTAGGACAGTCGATCTAGTCACGCCTGTCAGTTTTAAACGAAAAAATTTAGAAGTTAGCTGTTTCCTAATTTTTTTTTAGTTCTTCGATATATAGTAATGGTTTATTATGTCAGAATTACAGTTTAAGTTTAATTAATATCGGACGACTTTATAATATAGCTCCTATGAAAACAATCGGAATATTAAAATAAAATATAGATTGAGCAAAAATTGTATCATTACTTGTTTTTAATTTTGCTGGGCGTAATAATGGTTTAATAGTTCAGATTTACGCATTTAATTTTACTCAAATCGGAAAACTCTGCCCTACGGACGCTCGAATAATTGTGGGGAAAATCATCATAGCCTCAATGTTTTTAAACCAGTGTTGTCCACGCGGACAACTCGCGATTCAGCGAGTTGCTCTGCCGGCTCTCTGACGCGACTACGACACTGTAAAAGGTTTGGCTTTGGCATAGCATTTCTGTTACGCACACAAATGCAAGTTAACAAGTTATTGTATATGGGCAGACATCTCTTTTTTAAACCAATATGAATGTAATTCAAAATTTAGATGTTTTAAAGAATATTGCAATATCTGCAAGGGTATATATACTTCGGCCTGCTGAAGTTTGCTTCTTGTTTTCAGATAACTATATCATGTCAGCAAGTCGTTTTAAAATAATATTGTACTTCGTTGTATTATAAAGCTGTGTCATAATGTTTTCGCTCTTTAGTTTTCTTTACATTGTTAAAACGTTTAGTAATGACTTTAATTTACTTGATTGTGCGAGCAAAAGTATTGACATATACTAAACAAAATTGTATTAATAAAATTGTATACACTTTTAATGTGAAATAAATGAATTATTTATTTAAGTTGGTTAGCCAAATAAGACAGCTTTAACTTGGGGAACGATTTCCCCTAGAGTGTTAACCTTCAACCCTTCTACTTCTGCTACAACTGACGGCATAGCTTACATGTTACTTTTGAGAGACTCATTTCTTGGGCATTTCATGCTCCTCATTATGGGTTGCTCGTTGGCGCTCAGGTCATTGCAATCTGACCTAGATTCACTTTCAGTTTGCTTCTTTTACAACACGTACACGGCATGTGGTTTGCGCTAAGTTCCCATTTTGAGTTTAAGTCCTATGCTTGTTGTTCCTTTTTAGTTGTGCTAGGATTCCGATAACCCAGAGAGAAACCTAGGAAAATAAAGAAAAGCGAGTACTACTTTAATGGTTTGATTACAAACGTGTATTTCGGCATACAGATTTTTTAAATTTTAAGACTAAATTTGCCTGGATTACAAATTTAAAAATATTACATTTTTTTAATAATCCACAAGATTGCAAGAGAAATGAAAATTGGTTCCATTCTTCAACGGAATAAATATTTTTAGAGGCACTTGAATTTTAAATTTTTGTGAAATCAGATTTTTCAGCTGTGACGTAATATTCTAAAGACATGGATCGTGGTTCAAGCCGGGTACTTTAATGGTGTATGAATAGTGTTTGTCAGCAATAAAAATTAAGTAACTCCAGCGATCAACACGGCCCTATCTAATGAGCATAGGATAGTGTTTTGCCGGAAGAGCATTACCATCTCGCAGAGCTACATTCAATATCAAGTTTTGAAATTTCCAATTTCCAAATGACAACTGGCAAGTTTTACAAATTTTAAAATTTGACAAATTTTTAGACAAAGAAAATATATTTTAACAGCAAAAGATAGAAAAGCCATTTTGGCACAAAATTTTACATTTTCAGGGTTAAAGAAGAAGGGAAGTTACTTCGGCAAGCCAAAGTTTAAAATAAAAGGGTTATTCTGAATTTTCAAACCATTAACAAATCAATAAAAAAAGAGAAGTTAATTTTTTTTAATTTTTTCTGAAATGATAAACCATGACTATCTCAAAGAACTAAAAAAAAAATAAACAACAAGTTATAAATTGTTTTCTTTTTTTCCGATTGTTCTATGGGAGCTATATGATTAAGTCCGATTCGACTCGTTCTGTTTTATATATCTACTACCTGCCACAGAAGGACAAAGTTGGTAAAGTTTTGTTTAGAAAGCTTTTAAACTGAGAACCGAGCTCTGAATCGTCGAAAACATTCAACATTCAACATTCGCGGTTCGAAGTGATAGAGTAACATCCCCCAAAACAACATTAATCTAATGGAACGTTTCTCTATCGGATTTGCCTTTCACGAAGGAAAACTTTAAAATAGCGCGAGTTTTAACGTTAGAGAACGCAATATGTAGGTTATGTCAAGACCTTTCCTTTGATGTATAGTATACGAGCTCTGTAGGGCTACATAGCCGCAAAATTTAAAAGACAACAAGGCGGAGTTATAATCTACGTTGGCATTCTATAGTAACTTAAACTATTACAAAATTTGCAATTTATTAGTGTATATCGCTTACCTCAAACTTCTCCTTAAGGTTGTCATCTTCCATAAAAAGCAAACTATTTTAATACATATTTGGTTGATTGTTTGACTAGAGAAGCCAAGTTGTAATGATCGATATTATAAAAAAAGCAAATTTTGTTTTCTGTCCTGCTAGATAATTTCCGTTAAATATCAAATTCTAAGTTTTAGATGTTTTTGACACATTTTACAAAAATATCCGAGATCTAATTATTACCTACTACGAAGTGCACAAAGGTATACATGATTTAGGTATTTCCTAACAGTTATTTGAAGATCAGCATGTCTCGGGAATTGAATGCGGTGTCCTTTAAAGAACAGCATAGGCGTTGCTAACGACTTAATATATGCATAGAGGAGCTTTACCCTGCTGCATGTTTTCTTTTTTGGCGCTGACTTTCACTGTGGCTGCTTTTATGACAGGCAAGTTTGAGCATTAAATCCCGTGGTATAAATGGATTTATTGCATGGCCAAAAATATGTATTGTCCTACCCGCTTATACAGGAAATGGTATGCCCACACCACCTGCATAAATGGAAGCTGGCAAAATGACTGGCAGTATTTAAGAGCATTTATTATAAACAAAAAACATAAACTGCATTGTTATGCATTGTAGTTCCTGGGAGCGTGCGAAGATGAAAGGATATGGAAAGGGAGAGCATGGAATTCAGACAGTAGGCGAAGTAACAGAACAATTTTATGAACTCACACGGTAGCACTATGAGCTAAGTTTCGAGCCAAAACTCAACAATTTACCGGGTCTGCCACAGGAATCTCTTTCCACCCAATTTTAGACGAGTTAAAATTTGGGATGAACCGTCCTCAATCTGGTTTTAAATCTTAATCACGATTATAACTTATTTAATTCAGAAAAAGTAGTACTGATTAGAAATATTTCTGTTTGAGTAGACCTTTAAACACACATCTTAAATATGTTTATAAATTTTTTTCATATTTTCATTTCACAAAATAATATTTGTTTTCGTTTTTATAATATACTCGTAACAAAAAAAATTAAATAAATAAAAAATAATTTTATTATTTTATTTTTATGACATGTACACAAAGTTTCAAATTGAATTAATTGCGTGTAAAATTCCAAAAATTGTAAAGAACAAAAAGAAACTTACTATTGGTGGGCTTCTTTCCCCCCTTGTAGGTTGTCATTGCTTCTTTAGAAGCCTGTAGAAAAATATAAGGGCTCTTGCTTGGGCCGGCATTCGTCTAAAAAGCGTTTTCAGGAAAATTATCACTTTGGTCGATGCGGACCAAGAGCGTGTGCATAGGAGACTACTATTATATGGCCACAGAATTGAAAATCTGTTGTGATGGTCCGATCGTAACGAGCAATACACCAATCGAAAGGTATCGCTAAATCAATAAGTAATAAGAATACCGATACTTTGGGAAAATTGATTGGTTGAGGAGAAAGGGCGGTAAAAGTTACATACGAAACATTTTTTTAAGTGGAGATCCTGAACTTGGGTTGGTAAAATATTACACTATTTAACTTCTAAACTAGTTAAGCTACAGACAAGTGCTGTATGTCATTAAAAAGGTATTGAATTTTGTTGGCTGAGTAACGGGTAGCTAATAGTCGGCTATAGCGTTCTCTGTTGTTTTTTTTCTTCGATTGTTCCTATGGGACCGAAGGAAGACAAATTTTTGAAAAGTTTCTGCAGATAGCTTTAAAACTGAGAGTTAAGTTTGCGTAGAATTGGACGAACGGACTGAAGGGCCGACAGACGGACTTACGGACGGGCAGAAGGACGGACAGACTTTCTAAGTGATGCTGCTCTAGAATACAGCCGAACTTTTTAAAAACACAGCGTGTAGACACATTTTTCTGTAGCAGCAATATAAAATATTCGTGCAATTTAGTCGCTATAAAAATTGGTATGTAATCGTTGTATAGAATTGGATTTTTGTTAAAGCTACAAGATTGTTTAAACTTTGGCTTCTCGAAGTTTGCTTTCGTTCCGATTATATTATATTGGTCGTTGGCTTCTTATACAAATAAGGCATTCTATATCTAATTTGTTTAAAATGAGAGTATATTGGTTACATAAAAAACGGTAACGGCTTCGTTTTAATACCCTTTCCAAATGAACCCAGGATATTTATTTCTACAGCAAGCGCTCGGTTTTGATACAGGTAACAGCTGACGCTTTACTTACATATCATATTAACAAGTTTTGCATTGACAGGCACACCTCCCCCTCGCCGTTGCAAGTGTCTTTCTTACTCGAGTGACGCACATGGGACACAGAAAGAAGGGGAAAAAATAATTTGGCATTCAAAATCGACTGACTTGGTGTAGTGACGGATATAGTCAGACTCACAGCTGGGTCAGTTTTAATCTGGGAACCTCTTCCCAGCGTTTTACCAAGTCGACTGCGAGCTGGGAATCCAATCATAAACTTTTCAAAGAAATTCAACATAAAACGAGCAGGACATCTAAGTACATTTTAAGTATATTACGACTGATAAGCAGTAGCAATGCCAATGTGTTCATTTTGAGGAAACTATTGTGCAATTACAGCAGATACATTCAAACTTCCAAAGGTTGTATTTTTTCGTCCACGAATTGCCGTTTATCCGCACGTTTACCAAATTCTATTAGAGCGTAATGTGATTGTTGAATCTTTTGCATATTTACTACGGAACACGCGAAATACCTTACGCATTTCTTGCGATACGATGGTAAAGGGTAGGGCTTCATGTCTGAAATGACACAGACACGCCACTTACAGCAAATTGAATTTCCTTGATTTTTTGAGGAGTTATATTGAGCAGTTGAAGGATTTATCAGTTCTCTTTTCCTCCTACTAAGCAAAAATAGAAGTCGTATGTGTGTGTCCCAGAATAGAAAGTTGTAAGGGTTGTCCTTTCTGTTTTTCTTTGTAGTCGCTTTATGAATTGAAATATTGACCGCTGACAGAACGGTTTCACGAACAGCCTTTCATCTCATTGTAGGACTGTCTGTGATTGTACTTTTCGTATGTCCCGGCAACCTCTCATCCTACTTCATGTACCTGTAAAAGCTCAAGCACATGCAGGGGATATATATTGAATTAATTAATTGATTAATTCTTATAGCCTTATTCTCTTCTTTTGTGTCCGTTCGAGCCGTAAAACACTCTTGTCCTACTCAGTCCCTTGCAAAAAATGCTTATTTTTATGCCCTTGCAGAGGGTATTATAATTTCAGTCAAAAGTTTGCAACGCAGTGAAGGAGACATCTCCGACCCTATAAAGTATATATATTCTTGATCAGCATCACTAGGCGAGTCGATCTAGCCATGTCCGTCTGTCTGTCCGTCCGTTTCTACGCAAACTAGTCTCTCAGTTTTAAAGCTATCTGCATGAAACTTTCCCAAAAGTAGTCTTACTATTGCAGGTAGTATATAAGTCGGAACGAGCCGGATCGGACGACTATAGCATATAGCTCCCAACAATCGAAAAAAAAATAAAAAAAAATTATATCTTTGCTGTTTTCTAATTTTTCTTTTAGTTCTTCGACATATAAAAATGGTTAAATATTTCAGAATTACGGTTTAAATTTCATAAAAATCGGACGAATATATCATATAGCTCCCATAGGAATAATCGGAAAAAAAAAAATCTAACTTTGCTGTTTTTAAATTTTTCTATTAGTTCTTCGACATATAGTAATGGTTAAATATTTCAGAATTACGGTTTAAATTTCATCAAAATCGGACGACTTTATCATATAGCTCCCATAGAAACATTTGGAAAAAAATACAAACAAAAATTATAACTTTACTGTTTTTAAACTTTTCTATTCTTCGACATATAGTAATGGTTAAATATTTCAGAACTACGGTTAAAATTTCATCAAAATCGGACGACTATATCATATGTTTGCCGAAGTTTGCTTCCTTTCTTGTTAATAATAAAGCTAAACAAAAAGGGTAAATGTAAAATATGAAAGAAAAATTTTAAAAATTAATAAAAACAAGAAAGGAAGCAAACTTCGGCAAGCCGAAGTTTATATACCCTTACAGCTATTGCAAAATTTAGATTCCTTAAAAAATGTAAGCTATGAAGATTTTCAGATCAATAATTCGATCGTTTGTATGGCAGCTTTATGATATCGTTATTTAATTTTAATAAAATTAATGCGTAGTTCTGAATTACTAAAAAATAACTATGTCCAAAAGATTTTTTTTTTAATTACAAAAAATCAAAAAACCCTTTTTAAAATTTAGTATTCTATTACTGCGTTGATATATGATATAGTCGACCGATCCGGCCTTTTCCGTTTATTACCCTAGTAGCATTATAAAGTTAGGCCCTTGCTTCACAAACTGTGAGAGCCCAGTGCTTGTAAGCTTTTCCGCATTTGAGAAGTGGATGTAAAAAGAAATTGAAATAATGGAAAAGCATGTTGCAAAAGCAGACCCAAAAAAAACGTGTATAAAACGTGTAGAATGAACATGACCACAAAGCGCAGTTTACGAGTATGATGATAAGACGGCCGAAACCAGCGGAGGTAAATGGAATGGGATGATAATGATTTCAACTTGTGCTACGTGAAGTTATGACCACCACTACCAAGAACACTAACCACTTCAAAATCATCAAGAGCTAGAAAAGCTGCAGCCAACGTTCCGTTTCCTTCTGTTCAGAAAAAAATGGTTTAACACTCCGAGAAAAGGATCTCTGAAAGAGTTGTGTAAATTAAAATGTAACGTATTCCTATCGAATCAGACAACGAATTCCTTAAATGGTGAGCAATCTCTAAAGTAGATAACATTTCCAGATCGAATTCTTCCATAAAGGACGGACTGTTGATTTTTACTCAATTTAGATCATATATGAATTCTTCAAATGATTAAACTTCAAAAAAGTCCGTAGTCTAATAATTTTATTCCACGGAACACAATATAGTAAATATATAATTGGGGTTGGTAGCAAGGACATTACAAAAGCACATAAAACAAGTTCTTCCACTAATATTATATTCTTTATTTTCTAAGGTACTCTAATTTAATATTTAATATTTAGTAAAACATTTTTTCATTGCCATTATAAGTAATGGAGTTTTTATTTTCTTCAAAAATAATGCAATTTTTTTTATTAGAATTACTTTTTTCAAATATTAAGTTGTTTTTGTATTAGCATTACTTTTTAAAAATATAAAAATTAAATTTGAAATAGCATTAATTTTCTTTAAA